AGTGAGTTCCAGGAAAGGCACAAAGCTACACAGAGAAACCCTGTCTTGAAAAACCAAAAAAAAAAAAGGGGGGGGGGGCTCATATGGGTTACTCTTAAAGCATATGAAAAAAAGTTTATGAGATACTGAGTAACCACTAATACAACTAGCATTCACTAAAAATATCACTGATGGAGCATTACCATGAAAGAACATTTTAGAAAATCATTGTGTACATTTTCTTTAACTGAGATGAACATAATTCAAAACTGAATCACTAACATGTTCATATATATATATATGTTTTGTTTTTGTTTTTCAAGACAGGGTTTTCCTGTGTAACATCCCTCATTGTCCTGGAACTCGCTTTATAGACCAGGCTAGCCTCAAACTCACAGAAATCTGCCTGCTTCTGTCTCCTGAGTGCTGGGATTAAAGGTGTGTGCCACCACTGCCCTGAATACATTCATTTTTTTAAAGGTGCTTATGTTGTTGTAACAGGGAATAAAAATACAAACCCAAGTATCACCACACAGGGCTAGGATGCATTGCAATGGCAGAGCAGCAGCAGCAGCACATCAGGAATAAGGCCCTCAGCACTACAAAGAAATAAACCAAGTACAACCACACAACACAAGACAACCCACAGTCCACAGCCTAATAAATGGACAACAATAAAGGCACTTCATAGTTAGAAACCAGAAATAGAAATGGCAGTCAACTTATAATTGCTGAATACCCTTTCCCAAAACTTCAGAAACCATTGCAAAACGAACACGCTGACATATAATAATGCAGTCTGTATGTGTGAAAATACTGGTTTAGAACAAATAAGAACTTTTGAGACTAAACAGATCAGTCATATAAGCCTGTGAAGCTGTGGTTTCAGTAAGTGCTGAAAAGGGGCCTTGGATTTCTCATTAGTTTATGTGATTTAGTCCATCAGAGGGTCAAGAGCTAGACTGCAGAATCAGTACTTCCTAATTCAGCTTCATCGCGGTGAACTAGTTGCTGAACCTAGCCTTTGCCCCAGTTCTACATAACTTTAAAGATTCACTTGTCAATGCTGGTAGACTAAATTTCGTCTGGTAGTAAACATTCTCAAGAAAATAATCTGAATCTGTCCCCCATCTATCCCCCAGCCCCGACAGAGTTTCTCTGTAACAACTCCAGCTGTCCCAGAACACATCTGTAGATCAGGCTGGCTACAGAGATCTTCCTGCCTCTGCCTGTGTTGGGATTAAAGGCGTGCACTACCACACCCGGCTGTTCACCTGACTACTGTAAACCTACTGATTATGACATGGAGTCAGTCACCTGGCACACACTCAGTGGCTGAAGACATTCTGTCAGGACTATGGAGTTACAGTCTCGATCACCCTAACACCAACTACATTCGTGCCAACATGGGCAGTACAACAGAACTCTTTTCCACAGGGAGAATGTGTGGAATTGGGTGGAGAGTAACATCCTAGGGGATCCTAGTAAGTGGATTCTGTCCTGACTCTTACCCAGTTCTCAGTTCAATTAGCACTCCATCAGGATTTTCACACAGCATGAAGTTCACCGACTCTCCAGAAGGAAACCCATCCTCTACAATCCCTCTCTTCCCCTCATGTGCAGCAAGAAAGGGAATGAGTCACCACTCCCTTCCCCACGGTCACCTTTATCTTTTCCAAAGCCAACAGGCTGGGTGACATCATTTAACCTTTCTCTGTGCGAAAGAGATCTTGCTTGTTTTCATCTGGACAACTTCCAATCAACTGAGTGAAAAATCCTTGGACTGATAAGAATCTACATTAGGAAAAGCTACACTTTTTTGAGTAACATGTAAGACTTTGCCTTTAGCAATGGCCCCTTCCTCTGCCCAAAAGTACCCATTTGTGTCACATTGCTCTGTTCCTGACACATACAATGTATCTCTGAGCTTGAGGCTTATCTGTGAAACATGCACCATTCACTTCTTACATGGTATGTATTTTATTTTAACTCTTCTTATAAAAAAGGTTGTAGCCAGGCGGTGGTGGTGCACGCCTTTAATCCCAGCACTCGGGAGGCAGAGCCAGGCAGATCTCTGTGAGTTCGAGGCCAGCCTGGACTACCAAGTGAGTCCCAGGAAAGGCGCAAAGCTACACAGAGAAACCCTGTCTCGAAAAACCAAAAAAAAAAAAAAAGGTTGTATTAACTTTTTCCTTATAACTTCAACCTTTCCTTTTTAAGATTTTTATTTTTAATTATGTGTATGTGGGGGCAGGGGAAGGTACATGAGCATCAGATTCTCTGGAGTTACAGGACGTTGTGAGGTTTGTGGTGTGAGTGCTGAGAACAGATCTCTGGTCCCCTGCAAAAGCAATGTGGTCTCTTAAAGGCTAAGTCATCCCTACAGCACCAGCAATCTTTCTAAAAATGTAAATCTTATCTTATTATTATTGTGTGCATGTGTGCACATGTGCACGTGTGTGAATGTAGGCACAGGAGTACCACAGGGAAGACAACTTGCAGGAGTCAGTTCTCCTCTTCCATGTGGGTTCCAAGGATCAGCCAGGTAGTCAGGCTTGCAGAGCAAGCTGTCTCACTGGCCCACAACTGCATACTTTTCAGAGGTAACACTAGATATCTTTTTTTTCCATGCCTCATATCCTGACCCCTGTTCTACATTATCTACTCTTAGCATGGGACAAGATCAGGTACACTGGAGGGATAGAAAATAGCTTTGAGAAAGAAATTATTATACAATATTTAAAGAATAAAGTTCCTATTATAACTTTACATTTTAGAGGCAAAAAGACCCATAGCTTTGTAAGAGTAAAAACCAAAAACCCAGCTCAACATCAATTTTTGTTTGAAGAGTATGTACACCCAATTTGGATGTTGTGACTTTTTCTGTATATCAAAAGAAAGTAAAGGCTTTCTTTACGAATCTAAGAATGATGCTGGGTGTGGTGGCTGGCACATGCCTTTAGTCCCAGCGCTTGAGAGGCAGAGGCAGAGGCAAGTGGATTTCTGTGAGTTTGAGGTCAGCCTGGTCTACAAAGTGAGTTCCAGGACAGCCAGGGCTGTTACACAGAGAAACTGTCTCTGAGAATGGGCCAGGGATGTGGCTCAATTGGTAAAGTGCTTGGCACTGACTAAACCAGATGTGCTGTTGAACACCTGTAATCTAGGACTTGGGAAGCTGAGGAATGAGGATCAAAAGTTGAAGGTTATCCTTGGCTATACAGAGTTCCAGGCCAACCTGGACTTCATGAGAGCCTGTTGTAAAATGTGAGAAACTCTTATCTATAGCAGCCCCATACAAACATAACTATTTTTTTCAAAGTCCCTAAAGGTTCAACAGGCATGTTCAAATCACAGAGCTGTCAAGGGGCTAAGGTGGACTTGAGGGCAGATCTTTAAAGAGTTATCTAGGCTTCACATTAACACTTGAGTTCTTTATGGATAACTATCTGCCCCTGCCTCCCTTATCCATGTCTAGAAACAAAGGCGTACCTCTTTAGCATTTAATAAATTCATCTTTTGCATATCATTGTCATTTAATATTTGCAACACTGCTGGCAACTCAGACGTACTGTGTCCACTGTGCAGACGAATCGAGGCTAGTCGCTTTCCGTAATCACATTAGCAGAATTGGAATTTAACTCCTAGCCCCCAAGTTTCTTCTCCTAGCTACCTGCATTAGAAAAGGTAACTCGTGGAACTTGTCTGTAGAGAATGAGTGCACCTAGTTATGATTTTCAGATGTTCTCAGCCATATGGAACCTGTTTTAGAACTCGCAGTTAGCAGTCACACAAAACACATCGCTGTAAAATGCTCACGAAATCATTTGGCTCTCTTGATGAAGACCTCATCTCCACTGAACGTTTTAAAAGATAATCTCAAAATTCATTACTTTTAGAAAGGATCTCATTCACTGTTTGGGAAATAGGGAGACTGTGCCCCCAGGTGGTCAAAAGCGTCCTTGCTAGCACCGGCCTCGGGTACAGCTGAGCAAGGCCAATCCAGCCGTTCTGCAAGCACCGAAGCGCTTCCCGCCCCGCGCATCGGCGCATGCGCCTTCTGGCCTCTCCGGCTGCGGCCACAGGGTGGCGCCACTTCCCCCCAGACGCTTCGCCCGCTCCTTCCAATACCTTTGTCCAGTTCCATAAGAGCAGAGTTAGCGTCCAGCTCCTGTTCGCCATAGCCGGCGTCGGCCAGAAAAGACTTGGTTGAGTTTGACGCCATGGCCGGAGCAGTTACCCGACTCGCCTAGTCACAAAGATTGCAAACTCTTCCCCAGCACCGCCATCTTCTCCCGCCGCGGTCTCGCGGATTTTTCCCTCCGCGCGCTGTCAGGCGGTGTACGCATGCGCCCCGGCCGCCCCGCCGTTCGCCGGCGCCTCTGTGGGCCCCCCGCGCAGGCGCTCAGGGAGCTCCCGAACCCTGAGTTCCCGCGGCCGAGCACGAAGGGGGCGGGGCCTCGGAGGGGGAAGCGCCTCCGAGGCGCCGGGACGCTGCGGCGAGAGCCAATCAGAGCGCGTGACGTCAGTTTGGCGCGGAGTTTGGCGGCCGGGGCTTACAGTGGCGGGAGTTGGAGGCAAACGCGGGTCGCGGTGTAGAGGGTGCAAGCGGCGGCTCGGGTGGAACTCGGGGGCCATCTTCTCGGCGTTTCCCTCCGCGGAGCCCTGTCCCCAGGCCCAGATGCTCTTCAACTCGGTGCTCCGCCAGCCCCAGCTGGGCGTCCTGCGGAACGGTGAGTAACGGTCCTAACGGCCGCTCGCCGCGGCGGGAACCGCCTCCCCCAGGCGCCCCACCTTGGATCGCTGCCGACTCCGGGCCTCCAGGTCCCCCGCGGCCCGAGTGGGTCCGGGTGAGCGAGGGCCGCCGAAGACAAGCGTACTCTGCTTCCCTCCGGGCGCTCTTCACCGGAGGCGAGCTTTTCTAAGTCGGGACGGAGGCCGAAGTTGGGACGCCGAGCTCACTGGCCTCCCAGGCCCCTGCTGCTTACGTCAGTATCGCGCGTTAACTAGAGAAGGCATGCCTGTGGGAGTTGGGGGTGGGGGGCGCTCCGGGACCGGCGACGTGCGATCCCTGCAGGACCGCGGTGATCCCTGCAAGTTTGTTGTTCCGCACCAGTGCGCGTGGCCTGCAGTTGAGGAACTCAGTCAGGCGGAGAAGACGCGACATCTGCTTTTCCAGCGCCGAAGCCCCCTCCCCCATCTCTACGGCGTCGGAAAAGTTCGAAATCACAGACTAAAAGATGCCCATAGCCACACCCCCGAGGTGACCACGGGTCACTATTGATTGAAGGGTATTGTTCCAGATGTTTTTTGATGCCCGAGGTATATCCAGGAATGGGATTGAATTTTTTTTTTTTCACTTCACGGTGGAATTCGGCCATATTCTCGTGTTACCATATAGAATATCAGCTCATTTCCTACAGTTCTTAAGGCAGCCTTACAGAACATTAGCAGTCAGAGGCGCGATTAGATGTATGTGTCGTTGAACTAAATCTTTGAAGAATAGGCTTAAGAAAACACTTGAGAAGATGAAAAGGTCCTTAACGTCCTGCTCCCATCTAAAACTTTGTATTCAGACTTCTTCCTTGGACACTGCCTCTCTTCCTAGAACTCTACGCAAGTAAGTTCTTCCCATGTTGGGAATGGCTGCCCCACACACACAATGGTTGTGAACTATCTTTAGAGTTAAAGCGCCTGAGTTTCCATTCCACCTCCTTTTTATGTGGCCAAGGAAGGCTATTCAAACTTTGTCCGCTTTTCGGTCTCTCTGGTGTTTACAGATACTCGTTCAGTGATGGGCGCTGGGATTCATGTACTGTTACTCATGAAATCAGTGCGTCTCCTTTCCCTGCAGTGTTGCTGTGCCCCACCCCCACCCCGTCACTTAGCAGAGACTTCACAGCTGCCTGCACTCCCCCATTCCCTATATTTTAGATAGATTTCTGTGAAAGCTGTGTGGGTTGATCTTCACTCAGACAGTCAGGCATACAAGCATCTTAAATTCTAATGCCCCAAACTGAGTTGGCTTTTCCCCAAAACCTGTTACCTACAGGTTGGGGAGTGATATTTTAAATTGGTATCCCCAGCCAAAGCCTCAAAGACTCCATTCATTATTATATGTTCAAAACGTTCCTTTAAGCTTGCTTGAAACTATCTCTTTCATCCCCACTGATTCAGCCTCTTTACCACGTACTGAATCTCTTCCATTTTCACCATTCTGTTTCCCTAGACTGGACCCTGATACTTTACTCTCTGGATTATAACAAGCCTCCAAAATGTGCTTTCAGTTCCTTTCTCCACTGATGTCTGTAAATGGAAATATGATTACTCTTTTGTGTATTTTAAATCGGTATCTAAACGTTTTTTAGTATAATCTTACACATGAAAAAAATGTCACTTCTAGCCTTATTGTGAATGTTAGCATCTTGAGATTTAAAGTGCTCTTAACCTTTAACTGCATCTGATACTATAAACACTATAGCAACTTGGTCATGGTATTATCTATTAAATGTGAGCAGACTCTAACTACTTGGTTGCATTTTCTTTTCTTTCTTTCTTTCTTTCTTTCTTTCTTTTTTTTTTTGCATTTTCTTCTGAATTTATTTCTATTTTTCTCCCAAATTTATTCTATTGTAATTTAATGTATCCTTGAAAAGTTCTTATCACCCTATCATGCTCCCATCAAAAGACATATAAAGTGCTGTTTTTTGTGGTTTTAATACTCATGAGTCCTGAAAGTTTCCCTTGGGATGAATTATCACCATAGATTTTAATAGTGGACAGTTGTTAGAAGCTAACGTTTTATGATTAAAGCAAAAAACAAAATTGTATTGAAAAATGCATCTTTTAAAGAAATGGATATAGGTATCCAGTGCCTTATGATCTCAGTTGTCTCATAATTAAGACCTCACTAATTTTTAATTTTTATTTTAAAATATGTAATGAACACCTAGAAGTTTATCTTGCGACAATGCAAGGTGTAAGATTCGGATATGAGAATATCTTCCTTTTATAAAAGTTGAAGGAAGTGACAGGTCATAGGAAAGGAAGTCCCTCAACCCTCTCAGAGAGCAGCTTTGGAAATAATGCTGTGTGGAAGTTGTTGAATGTCAAGGTGTTGATCCTCAGAAAACAAAAAGCCTTATTTTTGTGAGGATAGGCTGTTAGCTTCCTATTGAGGAAAGAACGGACTTTTCCAGATGAGTGTTGGGGGCTGGGGAACACTACAGGTTCATAGTCTAGCACAGTCAACAACAAAAGTGTGTTGTGGGGAGGAGCTGCAGAAGTAATGAAGTAAGCTCAGTAAGTCCCTTGAAACACTGCTTATCAGTTTGCATATTAGTGCAGGTAAAGAGGTAGAATTGAGGAATTAGCTTAATTGTGAAATTTTCCAGAACATACTGTGTCTTCTGTTTGACTTATTGGACTCTCCTTTGGATTTGTGTGTTGTAGCCATTAGACTTAAAAATCCTGTACCACATGTGTACATTTAATTTCTTTAGATTCACAGATTATTTACAATGATATTTGATGTTAAAATTATGGAGCAATTATTAAGTCTAGTTTGAGTTCCTTTTCTCCTTTCTGCTCATTCCTTCTCAAACTAGATTTGACTGAGGTTCTTTTGGGCTGAAATGTCTTCTCTGTCAGAGGGGTTCCCTTTCTCATCACTTTTATTACTTCCTTCTACTTTGCAAAAGGAAGGCATTCTCATGTCCCCATCTTACCCTTTGCATGTCTCAAGATTTATAAATTTCTAGGTGTCCATCACACATTTTAAAATAAACAAAAATGTGAGAATTGGCAGTATTCTAAGATGTTAGTTTGTTTAATGTTTGCAGTACACTGATCCTTAGTCATCAATTACTTGTTGGATGAATGTTTCTCTTATTGAGGCAGAGCATGTTAATCTAAAAAATCTGAAGTGTAGTGGGCGGTGGTGGTACACGCCTTTAATCTTAGCAGCACTCCGGAGGCACAGGCAGGCGGATCTTTGAGTTCGAGGACTACACAGAGAAAACAACAAAATCTGAAAGTTTTGCTGATATGTTCAAAAGCTTCAAGATGCCCAACCAGTAAAATTCTTGCAAATCTGAAACATTTCTTGTCCTCACGTATTTTGGATAAGAATATTCAACAGAGCCAACCCTGAGGGCATGAAAGCAGAACAGGCCCCTCCCCTGGCTCATTGCTGCAAGGGTGAGTTAGCCAGGGCAGTGCTGGAGAGCTCCCCCTGGTGATGAGGACGGGAGAACTGACGGGCTGACCAACCCTGCAGTTAGTTACCCAGCACCAGAACCAATTTTATGAATTGACCCGCCCTAACCTCCACCCCATCTATGGAAGCACATGAAGGGACCTGATCCGCAGAACGCAAAGCTGCAGGATCTCCACAACACAGGGCAACAACAGGATATCAATAAGAATCTTAGTGAGGGCCCAGCATCGTTGGTGTAGTAGAAACCAGAGGCCTTGAACCAGACCAATGGCTCTGCAGTGAACACTTTCAAGTAAAGATACATGGACAAAGGGGTTTACTGTGTGACTCGTTGTGTCACACTGCAGCTTCTGGGATTTTTAATATTTTTCTTTTTTCTCTTAAATTTTGTTTTATTTTGGGGTGCTATGAAGGGGCAAAGGGATGGAGAAATGAATGGGATCAAGATGCATGATGTGAAAGACACACTGAATAAAAAGTAAAAAAAGTTATGTGAATAAACTAGTAACAGAACAAAAAAAAGAATATTCAACGTTTGTGTATTTAAAATGAACCAACCTACTTTTTAATATAAAGCAAATTAGAAACTTGCTTTCTTTCTGAATGAAATGAAAATTTACTTTTAAGTTGTTCAGCTCTGAAGTCTATCTGACCTTACTCCTTGGGGCAGGTACATACCACTTTAAAGTCATTCGAATGTATGTTAAGATGCTGTGAGTGGGTTCCTGTTAGAATGGTAGGCTCCTAGAATTTTAGCACTCTTAGGGCAAAGGAAGTTAAATTATTAGTGAATATGGTACTAACTACAATAGACAGGTTGATACAATTACCTTTTGAATGCTGATTGTATGTAATGATTGCTGTTTACTTAAGAGTTTCTCATTAGAGACTCCCAAAATGAACTTGTCATGGGAGTATCGGTTTAATTGTTAATGATTTAGTGGCTGTTTCTTTGCTAAGAGTCAGATCTCCTTTTAATGTACAAGGGCACTGGTGCTAATCATAATACACTAATTGTCTACATTTAAGATAGTAAAACCCAAACTGTATATAGTGGCACATCCCTTTAATCCCAGCACTTGGGAGTCAGAGGCAGATGGATATCTGTGAGTTCAAGGACAGCCAGAGCTCTACATAGTGAGACTCTGTCTCAAAAAAACATACATACATACATACATACATACATACATACATACATATATAGATATAGATATATATTAAACTAAATGGCCTCAACAGATGTTGGGAGTGTGCTTTGATTTCTTCTTAAGAACAGCTTATTCTGGAGAGCCATAGATAGTGAGTAGATCTAAGCTAATTATGTAAAGTTCTGTATGAACAAATATTTAGCCAGGTATGATAGTTCATACCGATTATCCCCATCACTTAGGAGGCAGAAACAGGATCATTGCAACTTCCATGCCTCAAGACAAGCAACAAAATTAAAGATACTTATCTCCAGATTTGTGAGAAATGCTAAAACATGTTTACATTTTAATTCTTAAAGGAATTGTCTTGTTTTAGGATGGTCTTCATATTACCCTCTACAATCCCTTCTAAGTGGTTATCAGTGCAGCTGTAATGATGAGCACACATCTTACGGAGAAACAGGAGTCCCTGTTCCTCCATTTGGATGCACTTTCTGTACAGGTAAGAGAAAAACTACACTTCCTTAAATTAGTAATTTAGGTAGATGTTAAAATTATTCTAATTGTTCTCCTGTGATTTATAAGGTAGATGTTTTTAAAATGAAGGGTGGTTTTTTTTTGCAGTCATTTTAAAAATGTGAACAGAAATAGGTATTATCTCCAGTCTTATAGTTAATAAAAGAAAGGTTATAAAAGGGAAACTTAAAACCAACAAGCTTGATCTGCTAGTAGTCTGTGTCTTGCTCTTCTGATTTAGCCTTTCTCAAGTCAGAATATCTGAAGACAGTTTTGATGGTTTTGAGTCTATATGTGTGTGTGTGTGTGTGTGTGTGTGTGTGTGTGTGTGTGTTTTGCTTGTATGTGTGTGTCTGTATATCTGTGCAGCACAAAGGCCAGAAGAAGGCCTTGGATCCCTGGGAATTGGAGTTAGAGACAGTTTACCTGTCATGTGGGTGTGGGAGTCAAATCCCAATTCTCTCACCTCTGAGCCATCTCTCCGACCCTGTTTAGAGTCATTTAATACCTTTGTACTCATTTGGAAACTTGTTGTATGTTCTTTTTTTCTATTCAGCTCCCGGTATGGAGCATATTTTAGCAGTTGCCAATGAAGAAGGCTTCGTCAGGTTATATAACACAGAATCACAAATTAGCAAAAAGACATGCTTCAAGGGTAAGTCAATAATTTTTAACATTTTTAATTCATAAAGCCTTTGGTAAATTACTATTTAATACAGGTGTACTGAACATAGGACACAGTATTAAGATGGTGGTCCAGCCCGGGTGGAATAAGATACGTAATCATGTATATAATAAGAACAGTGAGCGAAAAGCTCCTCTGCAGAAATAGGGGTCAAAGCATGCAGGACCTTGAATGTCAGACTAAAGTTATTTCCTTGTTAGGATTTGAAGGTTTTAGATCTAGAGACTGTTTTGAGAAGATTCTATTTTAGAGAATACTTTTAATACTCAGAAGATAATTTTATTTATTTCAGGAAGGGGGACTTTGGGGAAATGCATATACATGTATACATGCGTGTGGAGGCCAAAGGTTGGTGTTATGTGTTTTCCTTATCGTGCTCTGCCTTACTTTGTGAGACAAGGTCTCATTGAACTTGGAGCTCATTAATTAGACTTGCACTTGGTATTTATTTGGGTGTTGGGATCTGAACTTAGATCCTCTTGCTTCTGCATCAAGTACTTTACCCACTGAGCCATCTCCCCAGCCCTCAATTGGCTTTAGATGTTAGCTCTCCCATGTGTCGTGGAAATGTGTGATGTCTATGACTCCATGATGCTCTTAGGGCCGTTGGCAGCAGAGTACTAGCCACCATCTTATAATTTAAACTTCTGCTGGTATGACTGTCACAGAACACAGTCTAGATATGTCACACTTCACATTTTCTTTGTTTAGAGTGGATGGCTCACTGGAATGCTGTCTTTGACCTGGCCTGGGTACCCGGTGAACTTAAACTTGTAAGTGACTTTTACTAGGCCTGGGTAGATGCAGAAAAAGGGTTTCTTTCTTCAATTTAACTATGTTATTTTTAAAGGTTACAGCAGCAGGTGATCAAACAGCCAAATTTTGGGATGTGAAAGCTGGTGAGTTGATGGGAACATGCAAAGGTCATCAGTGCAGCCTCAAGTCTGTAGCTTTTTCCAAGTTTCAAAAAGGTACGTTGGTGTTCATCATTTTAGCCCTTAATGATGGGGAGATACAATGCCATAATTGTTTGCCTTTGTTCTGTCAAAGTTGTTTATTTAATCTAACTAGGTGGTGGAGATTTCAGGATGACTGAAAATCTTAATGAAGTTAAGTTGGTTAAGGCCCATTTAAATTTTTTTTTTCCTTAATGTGTATGGGTGTTTTGCCTGCATGTATGTCTGTGCACTGCATGTATGCTGTGCCTGTGGGTGCCAGAATAGGGCATTGGATTCCTCCTGGGACTAGAGTTAAGAAGCTTGTGAGCCACTCTGATAGTACTGAAAGTCAAAGCCAGCTCCTATGGAAAAGCAGTACTTTAATTTCTGAGCTGTCTCTCAGCCCCTTGTGTCCATTTTTAGGTCATTATCTCCATCTTGTCCTGGGAAGTTTAATAGTCTTAAGGCAATTTTGGTTCTTCTATGACCAGCTTTGAAGATGGTAAGATAGTACTATTGTTAACTGTTTGAGTTTTTGAGACAGTCTCACTGTGTAGCCCTGTAGACCTTACTGTGTAAAGCAGGCTATCCAGGAACTCCCTGAGATTCATCTTCTGCCTCCCACATGCCTCGATTAAAGAAAGGCATATGCTATTGTGCTTGGCAGAATACTGTTTTTAGAAAGAATATTATCATTTATTCACACAGATACTCAGGAATATTAAACTGAGCTATTGAATTGGTTTAGGCTTTTGGCAAAGTTAAACTTTGGTATTTTTCTGGGACAGAGTCTCAGACTCCTCAGAAATTTGTGAGCCTCCCACCTCAGCCTGCTACATTGGTGTTACAGGCATGTGTCACCATTCCCTGGTCACAGTGTTACTTTTAGTCTGCTCTAGTTGCTGTGAAGCTAAAATTCTGAAGAGGTAATGTATGTCATGAGTTTCAATTGCCACATAACTTGTCATTAACATGTGTATTATATGAAATTAAGAATGTGTTGTGTTCTGATTTGTTGTACTCTTAGATTTAAGTTTTAAAAGTGTACATGTGGATAAGCTTATGCTAATATGTAAAAGAAAAGGCATTGGGTGGACAGGGAGCTGGTGGGCTTTTATCCTGGCTGCTAGTAGTACATTAGTTAACCTAGTTGGAAACTGCCCGCATGGTCCCATAGTTTGGTCGGTGAAACAGATTAGATTTCAGCCTGCCTTCCTCCTAGCCATGCATAGAATGGCTTTAGACAGCTTTACATTTTATTTTAGGCTTTGCATTGTCATTTTGATCTCCTTGGGACTTAGTTTTTTAATTCAGTTGGATTGGTGCCCAATACCATTTTATTCATGAAAATAATTGTGAGCATAAAAAGAGGTGAGATATGAACCCACTTTTTAAACCCTGGAGACTATAAATGAAGTGTTTGTATGGATGGTTTTTTAGTTTTATAGTAGCATGGTGGAAAAGTTCTCTGGTACAGTCATTCAACCCTATATGAACAGGATACAAGTGACCATAATTGGACGTGAGGATACTACTGAAATTTATCTCCCCTGAATGGCTGCCTTCTGAAGATTTGTAAATTAGACATGTACACTTTGTTTTGCCAGAAAAAAGATAGCATTAGAATTCTGGTAGATAATTAAAAATTAATTAAATTTATTTGTGTCTCCTAAAAGCTTACATCTCATATTTGAACCTTTCTCATTCTTCATTTCAGCTTAAAGCCAATCCTTCACCCTAAGTTACTGGTTCTCGACCCCAGTGAACATTGGCTCTCTAAAGATTTTTTTAAACATGCTAATTAATTAAATGGTAATCTCTGGGAGGTGAGCCAGGTGTTTTTTGTTTTTGTTTTTTAAAACCTCATCAAGGGATTCCAGTGTACAGCTAAGCTTGAAGAATATTTTTTATAGCTTTTTTAATTTAAACTTATTTTAAGAATTTCATTCGTGAGTACTGCATTTACATCATTTCTGCCCCTTCCCTCCAACTCTTCCCATATAACTCCACATTTTCAAATTTATGACCTTTTAAATTAATTTTGCATACACACGTATGTATTTATGTGTCAGGTTTCTGTAGCTGTGGGGATACTGCTGTTCTTCCAGTTGTTTTCTGCTTGATCATGGGCAAACCTCCCTCAATTTTGTGTCTTTGATTTCTTCATTATTAATCAAGAGTATGCTAAAGCTTACAGCTGTTTGGAGACAAGACCCAAAAGGAAAAATTCTGTGAATTTTGAGCTTTGGTTGGCTCAGGGAAGGTGGGCCACACTAGCATGTATATATGTACAAACTGACAATAGGACCACTCCATGGCATGGTTAAGGGGAAGGTGTTTATTGTAGATATGAGAGAGAACAGCCAGGGGTATCTGGACGAGTCAAGAGCAGAGAAAGTAGTAGACTGAACATGGCCAGCAGTCTGGACCAACCGGGCCAAGAGAGAAAAGCAGGAGCAGAGCAGAGACAGAGAAGGGGTGAATGAGTAGCTAGGGGTAAGGGAAGCCTGGGAGCTGGAGAAGTTTAGAGTAAGGAGGAGGTGAGAAGAGGTACTTGTGATACTGAGGGAGCTTGAAGCAAGCGTGGGCTTCAGTATGCTAATAGGTAACAGCCGTTTCTCCCATCTGCCTGTTGGAATTTGGGGAAATGGAGTTTCCCTTGGACCTGACAGTATGTACTTATAATCTACTGAGTCTGTTTAGTGTTGCTTGTATGTACATAAATTTAAGGCTGACCACTGAGGATTAGAAACTTAATCAGTTTCCCAGCTGGTACATAGAGGAAATTAACTTTTCTCTCTCTCTACAACCATTGATTTTTTTTCCTGTAGTCTTTATCTAAGGGTGAAGCCTTGTGAGATTTCCTCTACACATGCTGGTGTGTTCGCTGGTATTGTCATTCTGTGGGCCTTGATTAGGTAGCCACATTGTTGAGGTTTTCAAGGTGCAGCAGCCTTGTGATATCTAGAAGACACCATCTCAAAGCAGGTGTTGTGCTCTTTCGGCCCTTAGGATCTTTAACACTCCAGCTCCTGTAGTGTTCCTGAGACCTGTGTGTAGGGTTATGTTATAGATGTACCAGTTGAGGGTGGGCACAGAACAATCACTTACCTGCATTTCAGCTGTGAGTCTCTGTAAATAGTTTCCATCTGCTACAAATAGAAGCTGCTTTGATGAGGGCTGAGCTCTGTAGCATGAATCTTAAAAGTTCTTATTGATAAAATCAAACCCGAGGCCAGTTATTGGGGGTGAATACTGGAAGGTCAGAGAGACAGAACAAGCCACAGCTATCTCACCTCACCAGTTCCTCAGCTAGTCCTGTTTCCTCAGACTGGAAGCCTCTGAGTCCTCATCCAGAATGAATCTCAGCTAAACTGTGTTGCTCCAAAGCCTGAAAGCTTAACCAGCCAAATGCTTCACCAGCCAAATGCTTCTAGTTTCTGGTCCTCACGCCTTATATACCTTTCTGCTTTCTACCATCACTCCCTGGGATTAAAGGCTCGCTTTCTGGGATTAAAGGTGTTTCCAATGTGGCCTTGAACTCACAGAGATCCAGAGGGATTTCTATCTCTGGAATGCTAGGATTAAAGGTGTGAGTGCCACCATTTTCTAGCCTTTGTATCTAGTGGCTGTCTGTTCTCTGACCCCAGATAAATTTATTAGGGTACACAATATTTTGGGGAGCACAGTACCACCACAGAGCTCCACATTGACCTGGTGGTGCACAACAGGTAGACTGTTGAAACCATATGACATGTGCAATAATTAATACAGGAGGGCAATGACTATCATTTAGTTTGTTAGCCCCAATCTGGTCATCCCGAGATGAGGCTGGGTTGGGAGACAGAAGTAAAGGTTTCCTCTCTAGCACTTCTACTCTGTGCTCTTGTGATAGAACCCCTCTCCACCTATCTTTGCCTGGGTTCTCACCTCCAAAGAAAGGTGGCATGTTTTTCTATTCCCATTCAGTTACCTTTTGACTCATTTGCTGCGGTCTAGTCGCTTGATTTAGTTAACCATGTATTTTTGTTCAGTATCCACAAAGCTCTCAAGTAGTTGTTTTGGTACTTTGTTCAATTTATAGCTATTATAGCTGAGTCAGTTTGTTAAATGCTCATTCTTCCATATAAGAAGCAGAATTTCTTTTTAAAATTTTTTTATGTACACATTTTGCAGTATACCTAGGGCCTTGTGTGTACTGGGTGAATGCTATGCTACTGAAGCCATGTACCTAGCTTTCATTTTTACTTAAAAAAACAAAACATTACAACTAAATGGAAGTTCTGTGTTCTTTTCAATCATGGTGCCCCCTTCCATACCCAGAGACAGTTCTTTTACAAATGGTATGAAATGGCGTAATCTCGTGCTCAGACAACATAACTTGCCAAATTGGAGTATCTCTGTAGTAGTTTTGCTGAGAATATTTTTACGAGTTTCTTATCTTTTCTCTGCTCGTTTCTCATCTGTAAAACAGAAGAGTAATATATACCTACTAAATGTGAAAAGTATGTAGAATGGTATATATTTCTTAAGGTAGTAAGTTCTCCTCTGTGTTAACAATTGCTTGGTTATCATTTTTCTAGAATCTCTAATGCCAAATTCAGTACTTTTGGAGAATGTGTTCTTTGGGAAATTTAAATGGAAAATATATCTTTGACTCGTTTTGCCAACATTTCGATGAACTTTTTCCACAGCTGTCTTCTGTACGGGTGGGAGAGATGGCAACATTATGATCTGGGACACCAGGTGCAACAAAAAAGGTAAGCTGGTTTTCTCCAAATTTTGATCAATGTGATATCACCCTATGCTTAGTAACATAATTAAGATACTGAAAATGTTAGTGATTTCATCTGATGCCAGCAGGGGGCACTTGTGTTCACAGTCCTACATTTCTGCTCATTGCTCAATTCTACAAAGCTATTAACTTATGTTTTTAATCTCATATTGTATCTGAATTATAATTCCATTTACCTAAATTAATGGAAGAATTAAAACTACTAATGCATAGGTTCACCGGATAAAGGTTTGTTTTGGGTATTTTATTTGTTTTTAATTTTCCTTTTTTGGGCCGACAAGAAAACTCATCAAGTCAAGGTACGTGTCATCACCGCCTGACTACCTGGGTTCAGGTCCCTCATGGTAGAAGGAGAGCACAAACTCCCTCAAGTTGTCCTCTAACCTCAATACTCTGACACCATGGAATATATTCCCCTCCCTCATCCCTCACTAAAAAAAAAAAAATAATTTCTACCTTTTAGTTTTAAAGAATCGGATTCAATTAAATATAAGCTTGTATTGCATTGTGATGGTGTTAAAGCAGGCGGTCACTGATGTGTTTACTGCTAACTTACATACTGATTTTAAAATATTAATAAACCGTATTTTATGGGCAGTTTTATTTCATAGCAGCAGTGAAGTGTAGAGAGTCCCATATATGCTCAACACCACCCACACACACAGCCTTCCCAGTGTCAGCACCCTACATTCAGTTGGGTGTAAATGTTCATTGACACATGATAGCCCCAAATCCAAAATTTGCATTAGTGTTTACTCTTCCTGTTACATATGATGTGGATATTAACAAGTAGATGATATGTGTCTGCCGTTGTAATACATAGAGTAGTTCATTGCCCTAAACTGAATCAGTCTGTGCTCTGGTGCTCATGTCTACTTCCTCACTAAGCCTTGCCACCACTGGTTTATGTTTTGTTTTTTTAATTGTCTCCATGGTTTAATTAACTACTTTATATTTTATTGGTAAAAAAAAAAAATCACACAATTTTGAGGTCCTATGCAAAAATGTTCAAATGTTATGTTCAACTTGAAATCAGAAAACACTAAAACCAATTTCCTCGGAACTTTTCAGATGGATTTTATAGACAGGTGAATCAGATCAGCGGAGCTCACAATACTGCAGACAAGCAAACCCCTTCCAAACCAAAGAAGAAACAAAATTCCAAAGGACTTGCTCCTTCTGTGGTAAGGTTTTAGAGAAGTATACATATAAATAGGATTTTGTTGTTGTGTTTGCTTGTTTTTGAACAAGCTCTCCATGTGTGCTTAGGCTGGCCTGGAATACTAGGTACGTGGCTTCAGTGGCATAGCATTCACCCAGTACAGTTCTGAAGTAGCAACGAAAATAATGTTATGGTTAGAGGTCACCATAACATGAGGAGCTGTGTTAAAGGGTCGAAACATTGGGAAGATTAGGAACCACTGCTCTGAAACAATAGTTAAGAAAAACTGAGTCATTACTAACCACTTAAACATCTTAGGTAATTACAAGATCTTTTCTTAATCTTGAAGAATGTAGGATCAGCGCTTAATAAACCAGAGGAAAGTGAATAAACTGTCATACTTTGAAAATGTTTTATCGCAACAGGAGAGAGACCTTTGATCTTCAGAACTAACAAATGGGCTGACTAACATTGTATTGTTTCAGCCACATACCCCAGAACCAGTCCTCTAGTCTGCTCATACATATGACACCTCATTTTAGTCTCCCATGGCACTCTTGCTCCCTGCAGAGTGTGTAGGTCTGATCTCTCCCCATTTTTTTGAGGGTGGCCAGCAGCTCTGTTATTTACTCTGGGATACCTGGGTCTTCCTAATTTCCTGGATATAGCCTGGTGAGGGTGACTCATAGTTACTCAGTAGCTAATGGTGTTGGGATGGGGGAACTGCCATGCTTGCGGAAAGTGAGTGGATGCTTCTTACAGCATTCAGGGCAGCTACAAGCATGTGGGAAGTCAATTTTCAGCTCTTAGCATTCCTTGATTGCCTGTAGTTCTTTGTGTAGGGGGGCCCTGTGAGATTTCCCCTTTCCATGTTAGCATGTCTATTTGTGTTGTAATTTGGGTCTTGTTTAGGCAGCCATATTGTTAAGGTATCATCTGTGAAGCTTCCTGACATTTCTAGAAGACACAATCACACAGCAGGTTTAGAAAAGCTAGTTTTAAGTACCTTGTTTTCTTACTGGTAAAGGCTGTGATGACCAAAACAGAATTTCCTTCTTTTTCTCTGTTGTGCTCTTAGGATTCCCAACAGAGTGTTACTGTGGTCCTCTTTCAGGATGAGAACACGTTAGTCTCAGCAGGAGCTGTGGATGGGTAAAAGACTTTATTTCTTCTACTTTTTCCCCAGTGCCTTTGTAGAGCTACTGTAGTACCTAATCTCATTCCACATAGTGGGTGCTGTAGCTGGGAAGAAGTTTACAGGTTACAGTGGAAAATAAACAGCCAGAACTCCTCAAATAATTGAGATAATACATGTGCTTGGCACATGTCTCTAGCACATAGGAACAATATTTGCTGCTACAGGGTGGGAACTTGCTTGCCTTTTAATAGTACAGTTAAGGCCTAAATGCTTCTGTATACTTGTTATTGATCTAAATTTTGATGGCCAAGTAAGTCTGTGGTGCTTATCCATATATTTTTCTACCAAGTATTGTAGAAAATAGATTATTTACGTGCAGGTATTCTTTAAAATGTACCTTTTTGCCTATTATATTTCCAGATGCATTGTATTTGAGTTTTGTTGTTTTGGTTTTGGTTTTAGTTTTTCTAGACAGGTTTTCTCCTATGTAGTCCTGGCACTTGCTTTGTAGACCAGGATGGCCTTGAACTCAGAGAGATCTGCCTGCCTCTGTCTCCTGAGTGCTGGGATTAAAGGTGTGTACCGCCACCTGGTTCATTCAAGTTTTTTATTTAAAAAATGACTTACTAATTAGGATTTCTATTGTTTTCTGTGGGAGTAAAATTCTTATATGAACCAAGTTCTCAAGCAAGAATGGGGAGTTGGGGGCTGGAGAGGTGGCTCAGAGGTTAAGAGCACTGCTTGCTCTTCCAAAGGTCCTGAGTTCAATTCCCAGCAACCACATGGTGGCTCACAACCATCTGTAATGAGATCTGGTGCCCTCTTCTGGCCTGCAGGGATACATGCAGACAGAACACTGTATACATAATAAATAAATAAATCTTAAAAAAAAAAAAAGAATGGGGAGTTAACGAAAAGTTACTACTGTTTGTGAATGACTATGAAAGTTTGCTCCATTTATTTCTAAAGATGCTGCCATTTTATGACAAGTGTGTAGTTTCAGATTACCCACAAAGTAGAAGTAAGGATTAAGACAATTATCTCTAGGTGAAATGAAAAAAATATTTTTCCCCTTCCACAGGAAAAAGTGTTTAGTTAAGGAGTTATGTATAGAAATAAAGCATAGGGGTATGTGCCCTGCATTTCAGGGGATATGTGCAGAGAGTTAGACTTAGGAAGTTTTTTTTTGTTTTGTTTTGTTTTTTCTAAAAGAACAATGAAACATCCACTATCGGCATCTAACCTCCATCTTCCTTTTCCCGATACCTTGGAGTAAGTGCCAGTGACTCATCACTGGGTCAGATCACATCTGTTTCCGTTTTTGTATGAACTGTAAGCTTGACATTGGAAACAATAGTATAAAATAGCTAAATTGAATTCCCAATGAGATAGCCTCAGTGTAACTGGGTATTGTGCCAGAGGAGATAGATTAAAAGTCATTTCACGCTCATATAAGTAAAATTGTTGGAATAAGTCTAGACCAGAGGTTCTCAACCTGTGGCCTGTGAGCCCTTTGACCCTTTGGGGCTCATCTAAGACTGTTTGCATATCAGATAGTTACATTATGGTTCATACCATTAGCAAAATCACAGGAAGTAGCAACGAAAATCATTTTATGATGGGGGGATCACCACAATGTGAAGAACTGTCACAGCATTAGGAAGGTTGAGAACCACTGGTCTAGACAATTTATAAAATGCTTATCTTGGTTTTTAGGATAATCAAGGTATGGGATTTACGCAAGAATTACACTACTTATCGACAAGAACCCATAGCATCCAAGTCTTTCCTATACCCAGGTACCAGCACTCGAAAACTAGGTAAGCCTTTGATTTGTCTGTAGGATTTTGGGAGTAAAATGTGAATTTCAATTAAGAAAAAATTGCTTTGATACCAGGCTAATTTTCAGCAGAGACTTGAGAGACAAAGTATATGGTTGTAAAGACAAAATCTCAATATGGTTTTGATTTATATATATTTTAGAAGCAGTTATCTTTTTTATAAATGTTATATTTTATTTTATAATTTAATTTAATTTTACATATCAGCCACGGATTCCCTTGTCCCCTTGCCCCCCGCCCCATGCGCCTTCCTCCCAGCCCACTCCTCATTCCCATCCCCTCCAGGGCAAAGACTCCCCTGGGGATTGAGTTCAACCTGGTAGATTCAGTTCAGGCAGGTCCAGTCCCCTCCTCCCAGGCTGAGCTAAGTGTTCCTGCATAAGCCCCAGGTTCTAAACAGCCAGCTCATGCACTGAGGACAGGTCCTGGTCCCACTGCCTGGATGCCTCCCAAACAGTTCAAGCTAATCAACTGTCTCATTTATCCAGAGGGCCTGATCTAGTTGGGGGCAGAAGCAGTTATCTTATGGCATGAACTGTTTTGTTCCCACAGTTTAACTTCATTGACATTCTATTAACTTTTTCCAGGTTATTCAAGTTTGGTTTTAGATTCTACTGCCTCTACTTTATTTGCCAACTGCACAGATGACAACATTTATATGTTCAACATGACTGGCTTAAAGAGTTCTCCAGGTAAGATATTAGTCATTCAAATTCTCTTACAGGAAACTAATGCTTGCTCTTTTGCTAATGAAAATTCAGTAGTGGTTTTCATTTTTTGTTTTGTTTTCCTAAAATAAACATTAGCCACATGAGGGAGGACTCTGCCATCTTTAATTAGTTCCTGTGGTGTTTCATGAGTGTATGTTTCTGTGACCATTCCATAAGTAAACAGACTCCTACTCTGTGTGGTGGATACTGAGTCTCCTGAAGCCATGCTCTTTGGACTATGTTTAGGGTTATCATTAAGGTTTACTTATTTTATATGTATGAGTTTTTGCTTGCATGTATTTATACAATACATGCCTCGTGTCTGGATGTTGGAAGAGGGTATCAAATCCCCTAGATCTAAAGTTATACATGGTTATAGCCACCAAATGGGTGCTGGGAATCAAACCTGGGTCCTTTGCAAGAACCAGTGTTGTAAACCACTGAGCCATCTCTCCAGCCCCTAAGATTATCTTGATTTTCTGTTTAATAAGCTTGCAGAATAAAGAAAACTGTTCTCAACTTTTTGTCCTGTTAAAATTAGAGGATTGAGTTTTACAGACTTCCCTTATAGTTTTCACCTTTTCAATGTTGGGTGAATACCATTTATCTCCTGAGGTGTTTTCTTCCCTAACATACCTTTTTCTTTTCTCTCAAAAATATAAAATTAGGGGGCCGGGGTTGGTGAAGAGATGACTTGGTAGTTAAGAGCAATTGTTGCTTTTGTGGAGTTCCCAGGTTCAATTCCCAGTACACACATGGTAGCTCACATTTGTCTTAACTCCAGTTCCAAGTGATCAGAGATGCCCCCTTCTGGCTTGTGTGTAGGAAACTAGGCATGTTCAAGGTACACAAACATGCAGGCAAAACATTCATACATATAAAGAGAAAATAAGTAAATAATTTTTAAAAGACAATAACAATAGAGTCTGAGACTAGTCTCCGAATTGGTAAGCTCCAGGTTCAGTGAGAGTCTTGTCCAGGGGTGGGAGTGGAGTCATGGTGAAGAGAAGACATCAGATATCATTGACTTGGCCTCCACACAGTCAGTCCATACAGCACATGGGATACACACACGAGATAAAACCTAATCCTGGTTCATTATCAGGTGTGTACTACTACTCTTTTATGTGTATTTTCCTATAGTGTAGCACAAAAAGGGTCTTGACTGCAGTTTGCCATTCTCCCATTAAACACTTGCTAATAATTTAGTAACCCTTTTCTGCCCTTTTAAAATTGTTCTCGTGGATAGATTAGTTTTTTAGATGCTAGCCAGGTGTGGTGGCACGTGTTTTTAGTCCCAGCACTCAGGTGGTAGAGGTAGGTAGATCTCTGTGAGTTTGAGGACAGGCAGAGGTGCATAATAAAGAGACTCTCTCAGAAAAAGTTAACTGTGTGTGTATTTGTGAGAGAGAGAGAATGTATTAAATGTGTAACTAAAATGCATCTGGTAATTACTTGCCTTTTCAAGACTTTGGGAAGAATGGGAACTTCATGTTTGAGTGATTTTCTTTTTTTTTTTATTCATAATATTGTATTGTACTAATAGCTATATCCTATGCCTAGTTTAGCATTGAAAAAACTAAATTGAAGCCAGGCATAGTAGCAAATGCTTATAATCCCAGTTTTTTGGGACACTAAGGCAGAAGGACCAGGAGTTCAAGGCCACATAATGAGATTCTGTCTCCACCTCAAAACAACAAAAAATCAAAGTGAACTAATTATAATTAAAGCTATTGGAGGATTTTAGGAGAAATTTTACCATATTTGAAACATTTGCAATGTGCTTCATACCAGCTTTCCCTAAACCAGCAGAGGGCAATAAAAACAGGGTTAGTAGGAAATTCAATTTATAATTTTCCATTCATAGTTCAGCACAGACAATGAATAATTTCAGTTTCAGAGCAGTGTTCGGAATGAAGGAACCTCTTTAACTATGTAGGTTTTTATCATAGTGAGAGTTTTGTTGGTTTCGGTATTACTATTGTTTTTTGTTTTTTGAGACCGAGTTTCACAGTTTAGCCCTGGCTGTCCTAGAACTCAATCTGTTTGTAGACCAGGCTGGCCTCAAACTCAGAGATCTGCCTGCTGCCTCCTGAGTGCAAAAGGCATGTGCCACCAACACCCATGTGTTATAGTGAGTTTATAATACATCTATCTAAATTGATTTGTGCTGAACTTCACTTTTATAGTAAAAATCTCTGCTGTAGAAAATATTTGATAGATAGGGTTTTTATTATTATTTTTTATTTTTTATTTTTTTTAAAGATTTATTTATTTATTAATGTATACAGTGTTTTGTCTGCCTGTATGTTTGCAGGCCAGAAGAGGGCACCAGATCTCATTACAGATGGTTGTGAACCACCATGTGGGTGCTGGGAATTGAACTCAGGACCTTTGGAAGAACAGCCAGTGCTTTTAACCTCTGAGCCATCTCTCCAGCCCCAGGGTTTTTATTTTTAAGTGTGTATGAGTGTTGTGTCTGTGTGTACACCACAGAATTCTAGACAATTATGAGCCTTGTTGGTGGTGCTGGGAATTAAACCTGGGTCCTCTGGAAGAGCAAACAGTGCTCTTAATTCTTGAGCCATCCCTGCAAAACCATTTTGTTTTTGTTTTTCTTTTTCTTTAAAAGGCGTAAATACAAAGTTTTTTTTTTTCCCAGTCTATTTTAAAAATAGAATGGATTTCTGTGAGCATTTTAACCAAAAGTCACTGTTAAGCATTCGATTTCTTTTCTCCCTGCTTTATCTTAAAATTCTCTGGTAACTGAGCTTTCTCCTTTAAATTTTCTGTGGTGTTCTGATGCCAGCAGGCTCAAGAGCACATTGAACAAGATATGGTTACTTGCTCTTTCTGAATGAATAGGGAGAAACCTAACCCAAACTAAGTGGCTTACAGATGAACATACATTGTACCCCTCTAGGTCCATTTATCATTCAGCCTGTTAAAAGAGTTAAATTTCAAAAAACAAAAAGAAACCTCTGTATCTCAACCAGAATTAATTCTTTTCACTCATTTTTACCTTTTTGTGCAGCAAATATTTGGAGTTTAATTAACAAATATTATGTTTAAAGTACTAAGGTCTAGAAAGAAGTGAGATGTACCCTCAATTCACAGTCAGTGGAGAAATAAGATCAATGTGTTACCAATGGAGAAAATCCGCATATAGGATAAGGGTAGGGGCATGGTCTGCATTTATTATAGGATTAGGCGTCCTGCATTTGATAATGTTATGTGACATTTGTTCACTTCCATACCAAATAGATTGTTTTGAATTCACTAGATTGGGTCTAACAGAAGCCTCATTTTTAGGTTGTGTTTTGTTTTATTCTGTTTTTAGCACTTAGCTCCCTATTATTTGGTAGCAAGTTGGAGCAGTGAAAGCACTTGTATGATTTGTGTGTGAGTGTCGTTTGCATTCATTGGAACACTGGAAATGATAAGAGCCAAGTAACTTGGTTTTCTCCTCTGGCAGTGGCTGTCTTCAGTGGACACCAGAACTCGACCTTTTATGTAAAATCAAGTCTTAGTCCAGATGACCAGTTTTTAATCAGTGGTTCAAGTGATGAGGCTGCCTACATTTGGAAGGTAAGCTGTCAGCTCCCCACAAATAGAAGGGTTTGTCCAGTATGAGGTGTGCTTGCTACAAGCACACACTGCTGGCTTTTTGCACCAAGTGTTTGCAAGGTCACACCTTGCTTTGCACTTCCTTTTATGAATACCGTGTATAAAAAAAGTGTCATTCTGTGTCCTGCTTCACAGATTGTTGGGAGATGGTGAGTTCTGGGGGTGATTAGAACCTTCAACACTGTCTTGCTTCTTAAATTATGGCACTGCCCATTCTGCTCCATAGTATCAGACTCTTCCTTAGGTGCCAGTCCTTCCACAGAGCTGCATGCAAAACTTCCGGGATAATAACTGTATTCCTTCTTTAGCAAATATTTTAAGACAGTTAATAGTGTTTTTTAATATTTTCTTATTTTATAGATTGTCCATTTCTGTTTATTAAGTGAATGCATAAGTCTTAAAATCCACATTTTATATCCATATTCTAAAGCCATAAGCCAAGAAACTTAAATGATTTTTTTTTTTTTTTTTTTTTGTTTTTTTTTTTTGTTTGTTTGTTTGTTTGTTTGTTTTTGGTTTTTCTTTGGTTTTTTGAGACAGGGTTTCTCTGTGTAGCTTTGCACCTTTCCTGGAACTCACTTTGTAGACCAGGCTGGCCTCGAACTCACAGAGATCCACCTGCCTCTGCCTCCCAAGTGCTGGGATTAAAGGTGTGCGCCACCACCGCCCGGCCTTAAATGACATTAATAGAAAGAAGTACTAGAGAAAATGCAAAAGAATGAAATACCTGGAGGTGCAAAAATAACATGCTCCCCATTGACAGGTTTTAGTGACAGTCTCCTCGGTGGTCACAAGATGGAGATGCCGCTCTAGCCAAGGCACTTAAGTTGGGCCCCTCTCTGATGTACAAGTTTCTTCATTGGAGTTTTCAATGAAATCGTCTTAAGGGTATATACTTGAGACTCCCATCTTACAAAAATAGCTTTTACCTGCTTTCTTTACTCTTTCTGGAGTTTTTAGACTGTCACTTCTCTCTTGTACTTAGAATTCTGAGTTTCAAAGTTTTATTCTTTGGGTTTTCTGTTTCTTCTTCCCTCGCTGTCTTACTACTGTTATTTCTCTACTTGAACTCTCAACTTAGTTACAGAATTTTACTCATTCCACAAGTCTGTGGCATTTGAGGTTTCTTTCTTGAAAGAAAACACCAACTGAAATTTTAGACATATCAGATAACATAATAGAATGACTAATTCCATAAAGTACATATGATTATGTATATAACCAAATATATACATGTAAATTTTGCCAATTCTTTAAGTTTCTCTAGCACAGCATCTTTTTAAAATTTTATGTTTGGTGGTGTTTCTAGCCCATTCTTAGAGATCTCATCTATGGCCACCAAGTATATGGGTGACCCTAACTGAATTTCCAGGCTTAGTTCCGTGTCACCCTGAATGACGTGGTTTAGACAGGATGTTCTGCCTGTCTGCACATAGCTCAGTGTGCAGGCTCTGATATTTGAGATCTTGGCAAGTTTACTGCTCCTAAAATTGAATTTGCCCAGTGAGATGGCTCAGTTTCTCTTTTCCATTTATTAAAGGAGGAGAAGTTTAAATGGGATTCCATGCAAGCTGGGTGGGTGTCTTTTTAACTCTGCATCACCTCTAATGAGTTAGATTAGGTTTTGTATTGAATCTGTTGTGTGCTAAAGCCCTCACATAAGGAAAGAACAAAAAAAAAAAGGAGTTTTGTATCTTCTGGTAAAAGAGAATGGCCTTTTGTAGAGTCCTCACTCCTTCTCATTAAAAGAGAAATGTATTAATTTCCTACCCCTTGTCCCACCTGTATTTCACCACCCTTCCCTGTCTGTTTCTGAATCAGCCCCTGAATAGTACTGAAGTCGTTATAAATAAACTGATTTGGCACAGCCATTCTACCGCTGACTGGCGGAACACTGAGACTGACACTTTAGGAAGTGTAAATGATCTCATGGCAAAAATAAAGATTAGCTTTGGTTTCCAATTGGGCAGAGTAAGGAGATTTTGTGAGGAAAAGTGCTGATGGATTTTTTTGTACACTTAAGTACTCAAAATGCTTTATGAGGTCTAAAGATTAGAGCCATTTACTTCAAGAGGTGCCTTTTAATTTTAACTTTGGGGTCCCTGTGTCTTAAACATTCTATAAAAAGTAGGATATATAAAAGAGGACAGTTTTCTGTATTGACCACCCCAAAATGTTTAGGTTATTTTTTTTTTTTAAACTTTAAGGGTATCCTTCCGCTCGGTGGTGGTGGTGGTGTCGGTGACACAGGCCTCTAATCCCAGCACTCAGGAGGTAGAGGCAGGCAGATCTCTGTGAGTTTAAGGCCAGCCTGGTCTGCAGATCGAGTTCCAAAGCTACACAAAGAAACCCTGTCTTGAAAAAACCAAAATTAAAAATTAAAAAAGTGTCCTTCCTACTCAAAATGGAAGCTTTTTAAAAATTAAATCAAATAATTATAGTAATGATTTTTATAATAAATTGATGTTAAAAATTTAAAGCCATCTTAGTTTTATGAGGAAAAAAAATCATCTTATTTAAAGAAGTAAAAGTATTGTTTCTAAGATAGTCCTGTGCTGTCAAAGCCCTTGTTGCCAAAGTTCACAAAAAACTTAATCAGCAATTGGCTTCTATCCCTTCTCCTTTTTATTAAAACAGAATTTAGGGGTTAGGTATAGTTGTGCACACCTGTAATCGCAGCACCTAGGAATTAGACACAGGAGAATCTCGAGTTTGAGGTGAGCCTGGCAGGGCAAGACTGTATTTACAAGAAAATACAAAGATCTACTTAAGAGTTAAGAGTGCAGTACAGTGTTAGCGTGCTTGCCTAGCATGAGGGAGATCCTGCATTTGATTCCCTAGCATCACCAAATAGTATTTCAAATGTACAATCAGCATGATCACTGTTGTACAGCCTTCTCCACTATCTAATTCCTGAATGTCACACCAGGAGGAAACCACATTATCCTGTAAATATGTCTTCATAGCTGCTCCCCTAACGATTTCCATATTGTCCTCTCTGGATTTTTGTCTGTTTGAGACATTTCATATAAACAGTATCACATAATATATGGCACTTTGTGTCTGACCTTCATTTAGTGTATTATCCAGGCTCGGGCATGTTGCACAGTACTTCATTCCTTCCAAATGCTGAAGAATATTCTATTTTATAGACAAGCCATAAGACTTTACTATTTTTGTATATACAGTTAGGTTCTCCTAGATACTATGATACAGAAACTAAAAAATGGGCAGGGTCACAGGATGGCAGGAAGAAGTGATGTTTACCATAGATGTTCACAGGGATGTGAGGATTTCCTCTCCCTTTAATCTGTTTGAGTCTTGAGTAAAGAGAAACCTAATGGACCAGGGTCATCACAAACAGAAAGGAAGGAAAATTCCCGACTGCTGGGAGAGTAAGAGACTATCTTTTAAAAGTCCTTTCTAAAGTATATTTTTTTGAATGAATGACTCAAGATCTATGGCATTGTAGGACTAGACAGTGACATCTATGTAGATTAGGGGAAAGCTACCTACCTTATCTATTAATACATTAAACTTTAACTTAACAAGGCAAATCAAGTTCTGTCCTTAATTTTTGCCATTTTATCATTGCACATTTGCCAGGTAGAGGTAAGGGTGGTAATGATTGAGTTAGATAACCTCATGAATCAATATCAAGTCCTTAGCTCTAATTTGAGGACTCTGTTCAGCTGACTTAGTCACTGTCACAAATATTCTTTCTCAAGGTGCCTCCACTTCATGCAAATGATCCATGATTCAGAGCCTTAGGAAAATAGAGAATGTATTCTCCAAGCTCCTTGCTCTTCAAATACATATACCAATAATAGCAATGTGAGCTTACACTCCTTGTGCTGGGGTTTCTGTGTGCTGTAAAAGGTATTGATAGCTCTGAACAAATTGGCTGTACAATGCTATCAAGTGCCTATCACTGGAAGCATCCAATGATGGAAAAATAGGATTCTTAGTAATGTGCACAGTACTTCAATCTGACCTCTCTTAATGTTAAAAATATATTAAATATTAAAATGTGGGAGATTACTTGAAATTTTAAATTGTCCTTCAGACAAATTAGCTAAAAAGTTTGAATGAAAAGGTATAAATTATAGCTTATGTCTCTCCAAATTGAAGATTATTCCATTCAAAATGAAAGGATGATACTTTGTATTTTGGTCATAGTTATCATGTCTTTCTTTGGGGTGGGGGAAACTGACCTCTTATTCTAAAAGAGCTGGTTGCCCATTTCAGGTACCTTCAGGATTCAATTGATTTAATATTCCTGGAAGTAGCTGACTAGATCTGGACGTGTCCATGCAGTATAACAACAGGACTGGATTGAAGAGCAGTACCTGGGACAGAACCTAGCTCAGAAAGCTCAGTGGCTGAGGGACAGTGCCAGCATTGCATTTTAGTTGGAATAAGAGCTGTCCTGTGTTTAATAGTCTTGATTGACTTTGACTGTTGAACTAGATAGCTCTACCTTTGTTGACAACCCTAGAGCCCTGAGATGTAGTTAAGGAAGTTCCAGACCTCTGTGGGGACTAACACTGTTCTGCTGACTTGTTTTCTCTGGTTTGGCCAGGTTTCCATGCCCTGGCATCCTCCTACTGTGCTCCTGGGTCATTCTCAAGAGGTCACGTCTGTGTGCTGGTGTCCCTCGGACTTCACCAAGGTTTGTGGATGGATCTCCATAACTGGTTTTAAAAAGTGGATCCTAGATTTGGACATTTTCCCCGGGGTAATACAGACTTTTATGTTTAGACATTTATCCAGGCCGGGCGGTGGTGTCACACGCCTTTAGTCTCAGCACTCGGGAGGCAGAGCCAGGTGGATTTCTGTGAGTTCAAGGCCAGCCTGGTCTACAGAGTAAGATCCAGGACGGGCACCAAAACTACACAGAGAAACCCTGTCTCAAAACCAAAAAAAAAAAAAAGAGAGAGAGAGAGAATCCAGAAAGTGTGTGTTACATATATACTATACGCAGTTTTTCCCCTGCTTTTTTCACCAATATGAGAAATTATATACTGAAGGAGTAAAGTTGGAGTTATAGTTCACTAAGCCATTCTTTTCTTAAATACAGAATGAAATTTTGAACTTAAGATTCATCTTAAAATCTCAAGTGAGGTGGCTCAGCTTAAAGAGGACCCGGGTTTGGTTCCTAACATCCACATCAGCATCAGGTGGCTCACAGCCACCTGTAACTGCAGCTCCAGGGGGAAGCAGGGCATCTGTCCTCCTTATGTACCTGCTCTCACAAGCTCACTCACATACCAAAACCACACAGCTTAAAACGCAAAAATGTTTTTAAAAATGTGAAAAGGCTAGAAATAGAAGCTATGTTTGTATGTAGGAAGTTTTGTTGCTTGTCTTGTTCTTGACTTTAGCTGTTTTCTGATCTTCCAAAAACTATCTAGTGCATTGGCGTACTTACGGCATTTTAGAACTGCTCTAAATTTCTCATAGGGTTTGTTTGTATGTCTCCCTATTACATTTCTTTGGTTAGCTTCATGAAAGCTCTTTTTTATAAGTGTGCATAAGAACAGGTTTTATTATGACACTTTCATGTACTAAAAAAAAGCATTGTTACTTGCTCATACAGACCTTTCTTAAACTCATTACTATAGTTGTCTATAATTACATCTTGGTGACATTCTTTCTGAAACTCCATGTAATTTCTATTGGAATGCCTGCTTTTTACACAGGTTATCAGATACACCATTGCATTCTGTTTGTTCAGGTTTGGGGGGATGTTTTTTGTTTTTACTTTTGTGGATTTTTGTTTGTGTTTGAGAGAACATGCAGCTCAGAGCTTTGAACTCACTGTCTTCCTGCCCTGCCCTAGTCTCCCAGGTGCGGGGGTTGCAGGTGCTTATCACTGTGCCCAGCTTTCAAGGGTTTTTAAATAAGATAAAGAACATAAAGGAAGCCAGATGGTAGTGACACACACCTTTAATCCCAGCACTCTGGAGGCAGAGGCAGGCGGACCTCTGAGTTCAAGGCCAGCCTGGTCTCCAGAGTGAGTTTCAGGACAGCCAGGACTGTTAGAGAGAGACGCTGATATGAAGGAGGAGGAGGAGGAGGGCCATGTGTATAGTAGATGCCTAGAAGTGTGAGTGCTGTCACTGCAGCACTTGGGGGGCCATAGTTCTCGCTGACAAGTGAAGTGTGTGTGTCTTCTTTTGGCCTCCCAGTAAGGGAAGGAAAATGTTGCCAGTCTCTTGGGGGCCACGACTTAAAAGAACATGTGTTCTTTTTCCTTTCTGTTTAGTGACTGAAATAGAGAAATTATATAAACAAATGCTGGGGAACAGCTCTGGCATCAGTGGCCATTTGCCTCCTGCTCTTCAAGCTGGGCTTTCTCTGCCATAAAAGGCTTGGGACCAAGATCAGGAATGGTCGGATATTTTTAAAGGGGCAAAGGTTATTTTTAACTTCTTTCAGCCTAGTGAACTTTTGTTTTCATGGATTACTCCTTTACCTATCTGAAAAAGCATCTCTTAAGAAATGGGTTTATTGTACTTGTCATGGCCTGCTGGAGTCACAGGCTAAGTCTGATCTGGGAATGTTCTCATTGCTTTAGCAATAAGAAAAAGCTTGCAGAATTTAGAAGAAAATTATAAAAATTGAATAGTAGTGATATGTACTAATTGATCATTTCACAGAAAGAGAATAAAAAGGAATCTTAATTACATATAGTTAAATAAAAAGTGTAAACACATGAGTTGCCTGGCTTCTTCAGAGACCGAAAGGAAATGGGCCTGTGATTGTACAGCTGTAGGTTATTGATAGTGTCCTGGAGAGAGTCCTTTGCTCTTCTCTCAGAGGACCCAGATTCAGTGCCCTGCACACAACACCACCTTCATTCTCAGAGGATAGGATGCCCTTTTCTGTTCTCTGCTGGCACACACGTGTGTGCAGGCAAAACACACATAAAGATAATTTTTTTAAAAAAAAATGAATTACTGATAATAAGTTTCTCAGTAGAAAATGTATTTTAAAAAAGAAAATGAAGTTTGCATCATGGTAAAGCTAGAATGATTCTCTAAAACAAGGAATGAAAGTAGATGATCTTTCAGATATAATCTGTGTTGTGTTATAGCAGACAAAATAATTCATGAGCCCTTAGGGCACAATTCCTTTTGATTTTGTTGTGACTCTTTGAAACTTCATCATTCTTTTCCTGGTTCTTAGATTGCTACCTGCTCTGATGATAATACACTAAAAATCTGGCGCTTGAATAGAGGTCTAGAGGAGAAACCAGGAGGCGATAAACATTCCATAGTGGGTTGGACCTCTCAGAAGAAAAAAGAGGCGAAAGCTGGCCTAGGTAAGGATAACATGCATTTTCCAAGGTTTTCTTGGTTTTGTTAGTTGAGTCCTACTGTGTATATGGGAGGCTAGATTTGCCCTTGTGTTGTAATATTTTTAAAGAAAAGCATCATCTTGGCATTTCTTAAAGAGAATTGCCCTCTAACCGAACACTACCTTGTTAGCCATGTATGAAAGGACTCCAGTACAGTAATGAATTTAGTCATCAAATATCATGGACTGTCATGTGCTGTGTGCTCTTCTTAGTTTTGTTTAGCATTGCAGAAGACTCATCTCAGATATCAACCTCTTACTCATGAGTGTCAATAAGTGAGCTAAAGAAGTAAAATACATCAAGTAACAGGAGGGGCTTATGGTAGCAGAAGAGAAGACTGGAAATGTGCTGTCATGTTTCTGTGATAGAGAGGTCTCACTGACTTAGGGAAGGGAAGTAATTGGTGAGCCATGTGGGTATTTGGAAGACTGCTCCGGGCAGACAGCATGGCAAGGCTAAGGTACTACAGCAGGAGTACACCTGGCATATTTTCTCTGCCTCCAGAAGGCCAGCGCTAGCCCTGAGGCCCGTGAGGGACAGCAGGAAAGGAGTAGAAAATGAAGTTCATACGTGACAGAAGTCATCAAAGCCTGTGTAGTGGCACATGCCTGTGATCCCAACAGTTAGGAAAAGTAGGAGTTTGAGGCTAACCTGACCGTGTCTCAAGAAAACAAAAAATAAAGCAAAAAAGAATATCTTTAACAAAGTTTAAAAATTGTTTAAATTCTGGGTATATTTATAAGAAAGTCCACAGAATATGCCAAAAGATCACATGTATGCTATAAGGAGGAATTTTTAAGGGTGATTTCTGGGTTTTTACTTGAGGCTACAGGATGGAGTTGTCTTAACTGAGATAGGAATTGCTACCGTTTGATTTTGATGGAACATGACATTATCTTACATCCAAAGGGAGGTGTCACAGAGGCAGTTAGGTGTTTAATTCTGAGATTTAGGATGGGGGTGATAAATTTGGGGTGAATTATGATATAGGTAAAAATAGCTGTAGATAGAAAGGCAAATAGAGCAAAGGCCTGAATTACTAGACACCATCATTGTTTCTTTCGGGGAGGAGGTGGTACCACAGACTTTGAACAGACACTGCCTGAGCAGGAGACCCAGCAGTGTTAGGCCTGGAAGCAGGGTCAACAAAGAAAATGACAGGTTGACTTTGACCAGAGGATTTAAAAAAAAAAAAAAGACCTATGAGCTAACCTTTGGCTTTGGCAGTTTGGAGCTTGTAGAACAAACAACTTGCTGGAGTTTACCTCACTATATAGTAACTACTGTAAACATTTCTCCTGGCTATGCTAGTGAAAGGCTCTGGGAACCCGTGTCTTCTGTGACAGGGTAGCTGTGTTAGGAGAAGAGTATGAACATGCGGTTACCGGATGCTTGAAACATGGGGGTTTTTGACTAGCAAAGAAGGGGCCAAAAATACACATGAACTGAGACAGAGGTATAATAGTGCACAGCCTGTTGAGAAAAGCAGTGAGTTGTCCCCTGTTGCAGGACCCTAAAGTGGTGTGTGGAAGACTGAAAAGGTGGTGACCGAATGGCTAACCTTTGAATAGAAAGAAGCTATAGGGTGAAGAGTAGTGCACCTAGAATTCCTCAAAAGAACTACCTTCAAGAAGCCAGTGAGGGGTTGCTTTCAGGACAGGGATGCAGCTCCATGATTGACAGAGTCCTTGTCTAGTTTATCCAGTTTACACGAAGCTCTGGGAGAGAGAAAAGGCTGTGGGGCAACAGTTCAGTCCACACGTGACCAGACTTCATACATGGTTGTCAGAGGCCGACGTTCCCAAGTGACATAGAAGATAGTGCGCCTGAGTCCTGAAAACAGTTACAGAGAAAGAAGAACAAGGTGCAGGACATGGGTGTGTAGACAGTGAGATCCATTCCTGCTTGATTGGGTTTAAGCTACTATGCATATATCTTTGCATGTGCGAATAATAAACACATGGGAAATTGTGGCATGCACAGTACACATGAAATGAGAATGTTGAAGAGGGCTCTTTTTCCTTTACACTGTTGGGATTCTTTTCTGTAGGATTTCGTAGTTTATAGTTAGTTACTACTTAAAAATAAAGAAGTAGTTTGCCCAGTTTGGTAACCTTTAATGTTCACACACTCTGTCCTTTGACCCCAGTACCATAACAGCCTGAAGAAAAAAAGGAAACAGCTTTCTTAACCACTCGGCCATCTTCCAGTCCCTCCCCAGCTTTCCAGCATTAGGATTCTGCTAGCCTTAAGTAGACACTTGCAGCATGTGGCTTGCAAGTATCAGAAACTTAGATAACTATTCTTTACCTCTGCCTATCCTTTACCTCAAACCCTCACTGTGACTTGGTATGTTACTAGACATGCGCTGTTTTAGGACGTCCTATGCAAATACACACGTGGCTGTTTAAATGGAGGAAGTGACGACCTGAACTGAGCAGTACAGCCAGTGACAGCTTCTTTCTTCCTGCCATGACTGTATTGAAGCTCTGGAGCAGGTGTGTGATGGCTCTGACCAGAGTCCTTGTTTGTCAAAGCACATTATGACAGTGAAGTTTCCAGCTGTGGCTTTACCGGAAGGACAAATTCACTTTAGCAAAGTCTAAGCACTTGCTTAAGGGAAAAAGTTGAAGGAGGGGTATTTATAAAATTCCTCTCCTGACGGGGCTGGTGAGATGGCTCAGCGGTTAGGAGCACTGGCTGCTCTTCCAGATGGGCCCAGGTTCAATTCCCAGCACCCACATGGCAGTTCACAACTGTCTATAACTCCTGTTCCAGGGGATTCAACACTCTCACACAGGCATACATGCAGGGAAAACACCAATGTACATAAAATACAAATAAATAAATTTTTTAAAAAATTCCTCTCTTGAGCTGTTGAGATGCCTTGATGGGTAAAGATGCCTTCCATCAAGCCTAACAACCCGAGTTTGTGCACATGGTAGGAGAGACCAGTTCCCACAAGATGCCCTCTGACTTGTGTGCATGCGCTCTTGCTTGCATGCATTAAACATTTAGAAAGTTATTTTTAGTTAAGAAAAACTGTTTCAAGGCAAGACTGCTAAAGTAGTGAAGAAGATAATAAACTAAGATTGCAAACTATTCTTGCTTAGAGAGAGATTGCATTTCCTTTTTTTATTTTTAAGATTTTTATTTTAAATGAGTATTTTTGCCTGTATATATGTGTACTACACTCATGCAGTGCCTGAAGAGGCCAGAAGGGGGGCGCTCTGAGAGTTCCAGGCAATTGTGAGATGCTGTGTGGAGGCTCAGAACTGAACCCAAGTCCTCTACAAAAGCAGCCAGTGCTCCAAACCCTGAGCCATCTTTCCAGCTTAGATGACATTTTTCTGTCAGTCCATTAAATTCACTTGTGTAGATGCAATTCAGTAATTAAGACTGTTTGACCCGCCAGGCTGTGGTGGCACAAACCTTTAATCCCAGCACTTGAAAGGCAGAGGTAGGCAGGCAGACCACTGTGAGTTTGAGGCCAGCCTGGTCTACAGAGTGAGTTCTAGGATAGACTCCAAATCTGCACAGAGAAACCCTCTCTCCTCAGAAACAACAACAACAAAAAAGACTGTTTGACCCAGACTCTGTCAGTGGTTCTTTCTTGTTATTTAGTTTGGAAAGCTCAAAAGATAAGTAAAAAAAATACAGTATTGGCTGTTAGAATTTGAGAGAGCAGAAGCATAAAATTTGTAATAATTTTCAGGAAATACTTGGTGTGTGTGGAATGAGGACACAGAGGAGACATGTCCACAGGCTTGATTGGCTTCACACAGAGCAGGAGTTGGATTCTGAAGGTTCTTTGACTTGTAGAAATTAGTGGCCATTCGCCATTCATAAATTAAACTGGAAAGCCATTGAGGCCTGATAACCTCAATAGGATCACTTCTTGTAGGGATAAAATTGTTCACTTTACAGATATGAAAGGATGAGTTGGAGATGGTTATGCCCAAGTCACATACTGAGTGGTTGTGCCAAGTTTTAGGTCTGTGTGTTTCTGTTTGAGAACCCTGTGAGGGCTTCTTTACCTTCAGATTAGTCGGGAGTGTTGACAGGAAAGGCAATGTCCCTTAGGACTGAAATAGTATCAGTAACCTGTATTCCTGTTGCAGTGCACTGGGGCACACGTTAAATGTTACATTGCCTCTGCTCCTTAGTGTCCTGCCAGAAATGTCCATGGGGTCTGTTAATGTACTGGTGATACAGTAAGAGGCGGCTTGTATTTCTTCCTTTTTCTTCTTTTTTCCTTTTGAGACAGGATCTCATGTTAATATGTTTAGAAGGTTAAAATTTTTTGTTGTTGTTTTGGGTTTTGGGGGTTTTTGTTTTGTTTTGTTTTTGTTTTTTGTTTTTTTGTTTTGTTTGTTTGTTTGTTTGTTTGTTTGTTTGTTTGTTTTGAGACAGAGTTTCTTTGTGTAGCCCTGGCTGTCCTGGAACACCCTCTGTAGACCAGGCTGGCCTCAAATTCACAGAGATCTGCCTGCCTCTCCAGAGTGCTGGGGATTAAAGGCAGGTGCCACCACCGCCCAGCCAGAAGATTAGAAAAATTTTAATAAGCCAAAAGCTGTTGGTAAACATTTGTCAAAAGACCTTTCAAAAGGTGTGTAGAAAAATATTAATTCCACCAATAAACAGAAGGAGATATATTCAAACCACAATGACAGTCACTTCCCTTCTTAGAATGATGAGTATCAAAATGGCATGGTGTTAGACACCTGTCATCCCAGAAGGCTGAGAAAGTCTCTAGTTTGAGGTCAGTCTGAAATTATTTCCAATGTTTTAGGAAAATGGTACAGCAGTTTTTCCAGAAAATTAAAAATAGAACTCCCGTATGATCCAGCGATCCTGCTTTTGGGTGTATAACCAAAGGAGATGGTCAGTGTATGGAAGAGGCATCTGCACTTACATAGTCACTGAGGATCATGTGTAATGTCCAAGTACAGAATTGGCATAAGAGTAACCACTAATATGGAGAAACTTGTATATAGCAGTAGAATACTGCTTGGTGAGGAATTCTAGATTGGAGGGAGGGATCAGATATTTTTGATTCAGGGTTTTACTATGTAGCCTTGGTGGTCTTGAACTCATGATCCTCCTGCCTCAGCCTACAAGTGCTGGAGTCCAGGTATATTCCATCATACCTGGACTCTTGAGCCTTTATTTTAAAAAAATAAGTTATGCCATTAAGAGAGCCAAGCACAGCCAGGAGGTGGTGTCCCACACCTTTAATCCCAGCACTTGGGAGGCAGAGGCAGGTGGATCTCTGAGTTTGAGGCCAACCAGAGCTGATATACAGAGAAACCCTGTCTTGGAAAAAAAGAGAAATCAAGCACAAAAAGGAAGTATGCTGAATATTTCTTCTATGTCAAATCCAAAAACACTGAATTTAAAGAAACTGGAGTTAGGCAGAGGCAGGAGAATCAAGAGTTTAGAGCCATCCTGAGAGATGTGAGACCCTGTCTTTTTTTTTTTTCCCTTAATCTGTCATAAAGATGTGAAGCTTGTGTTTGTTTTGTTTTTAAAATTTATGTTTATCTATGTGTCTGCATGAGTATATGCCACATGTGTGTGATTGTGCAGGCCAGAAGAAGGTGTCAGATCCCCTGGAGTAGGAGTTACAGGTTGTAGTAAGCTGCCAGGCATGGGTTCAACATAGATACTTGGAAACAAACTCGGGTCCTCTGCAAGAACAATAAATACTCCTAACCACTGAGCCTTTTGTCCAACTCAGAGAACCTAAAACAACAATAACAGGGCTGGAGAGATTGCCCAGTGGTTAAGAGTAGTGGCTACTCTACCAGAGGACCTGGGTTTGAATTCCAGTACCCACATGGTAGATAACAACCATCTATAACTTCAGTTCCAGCGGGTCTGACACCCTTTTCTAGCCTCCACAGCTACCAAGCATGCTTGGGGTTCACAAACATACATGCAAGAAAAACACCCTTACACATAAATTTTAGAGAACTGAGTATGGTAGTGTGTACCTTTAATCCCGCCACTTGGGAGGCAGAGGCAAGTGGATAGATATCTTAGTTTGAGGCCAGCCTGATCTACATGTAAGATACTATCTGAGGAAACGATGCACACAATAGGATGGTGATTGCCAGGGGCTTGTGAGAAGGGCTAGTCAGATGTTATTTGAAGAATGAAAAATTTTGTGTGTACACATACATGAGCATGAAAAGGGCTCTGGATAAACATACAGTATGGTCACCACAATTAGTATAGATTTTTAAATGCTCTTCATATTATGAGGTGATGGATTATGTCATAGATCTATCTAGTCATTCTATAGTGTATACATGTGCCAGAACATCACATTTATCCTTAAATTCATATAGTAAAAAGTACAGAAACACTATGTGCCTTCTGATCTCATTTTATATAGCAAGGTAGAGGTGCGCTATGTGTCACTTGCACACACAGAAGCTGTTTGAAGTGGTCTGCTGGTGCTTTAAAGGTTTTCTTTCCTAGGTTTGCAAGTATCTGTTTTACTTGGGTGTTTAGGGAGCAGGCAGTTAAAGAGGGGGTAGGAAAAATACTAGGGTGTGGTAGAAATGGAATGATTTTAGGTGCTTACTTACGGGCAAATAAACCCTTAGATGATGTTGGATATGATTTTCCTTGGGGAGCATTCAAGGACTTACATCATTTTCTTTCTGATTTTCATGTTCCTCTTCATTTTCAGTAATGGTATCAAGTAGCCAGAGTACTCCTGCCAAAGCCCCCAGAGCCAAGAGCGGTCCGTCCATTTCCTCTCCGTTGTCAGCAGCTTGTACTCCAAACTGTGCTGGAGACCTCCCTCTTCCTTCAAATACCCCCACGTTCTTAGTCAAAACCACTCCTGCCAAAACCCGGTCTCCAGTCGGCAGAAGAGGCTCCATCTCATCTGTGTCCCCCAAGCCACTCTCATCTTTCAAGATGTCTCTTAGAAACTGGGTGACCCGAACACCTTCCTCATCACCACCCGTCACTCCACCTGCTTCTGAGACAAAGATCTCAACTCCAAGAAAAGCTCTCATTCCTGTGAGCCAGAAGTCATCACAAGCAGATGCTTGCTCTGAATCTAGAAATAGAGTGAAGAGGCGTCTAGACTCAAGCTGTCTGGAGAGTGTGAAACAAAAGTGTGTGAAGAGCTGCAACTGTGTCACTGAGCTTGACGGCCAAGTGGAGAGTCTTCATTTGGATCTGTGCTGCCTTTCCAACAACCAGGAAGCCCTTAGCAAGGACTCTGCAGGTCCTCCCAAATCAAGCCAGATTGAAGGTGCTGGTACAGGCATCTCAGAGCCTCCTTCTCCAGTCAGTCCTTATGCTTCAGAAGGCTGTGGAACACTGCCTCTTCCTTTGAGACCTTGTGGAGAAGGGTCTGAAATGGTGGGCAAAGAGAATAGCTCCCCAGAGAATAAGAACTGGTTGTTGGCCATGGCAGCCAAACGGAAGGCTGAGAATTCATCTCCACGAAGTCCATCATCCCAGACACCCAGTTCCAGGAGACAGAGTGGAAAGACGTCACCAGGACCGGTAAGCCTTCAGTGTGGGAGGATGTATGTCCTATTTGAAGGGGACCAAATGCAGTTCTCAAGTTTGTCTGGGACTCAGATTAAGTTTGTTAATTATTTGACAGCCCTGTTACTCCATTAAACCTTTCATCTGCTCATACTCCTCAGTCTTACTGCTTGATTCAGTAAAGTCTTCTCTCACCATCTAGGGTGTCAGCTCAAAAATATCTCTCCTGGGAGACAGTATGGCATCTTTTTTTTTTTTTTTTTTTTTAAAGTAAAGTTGTTATTCTTGGGAAACTTGCCAATATCCATAAGTAGATTTTCAGCTTGTAATTGCATTTATGATCAAAATGAAACTTAGGTATTTTAAAGTAATTAAATGACAGATTCCTTGGTTTGTTTTTTATGGCTTTTTCCCAAGTTTGTGATTATCTTACATACATCATTATTCTGAATCCTTGTGTTTGCTCTTTTAACCTAAATTCAGCAATTCAGTGTAATGTTACTTATCTTTTTAAGATTCACTTTTCATTGACTGACATGACATTTAAATGAGATGTTGTGGGAGAAATAAGTGAACCTTGCAGAGTGTGTGACTTAGAGTGGTGGAGGTAACTGAGCATTGAGTGAACCATGGACACCAACAGAGGGGTAGAGTGCTGCTGTTATTCAGTGTGCAGTTATGGGGAGGGGCTTTCAGCTCCATTATGACTCAGAATAAATAAATAAAACTCACTCTGAATTGAGGAAGATGACAGGAACATAATCCATAATTAGGAGCAGAAGTTAGGTATCCTTAGGCCAGTACTAGTGAGGTGAGTGTCCTGCTCCATTTAATGTCCTTAGCCCAGGCTATGCTTCTAGGAAAAGAATCGAGGAATATATAAAAGCTACTTGCTATACAAGCTAAAACAACTGTTCTCTTCCCTGAAAAGTAGGAGAACTCTGTCTAGCCAAAACATTGTCATCAGTGTCCCTCTCCCCTGGCTCTTCCCCAACCCCCATGACCAGGGGTGAGGTGAGAAGCATTTTCACCAGTAACGTAAATCTCAAAGCTCTAAGAATGGTGTGTTAATCTTTTATTTTTATTATTATTATTATTATTATTATTATTATTAAGTTTTGGGTTGTTTTGTTTGTTTTTATATTTTATTGACTTGCAGGTTCTCACTGTGTATTCCAGACTGACTTTGAATTTAGGACCTTCCTGCCTTAGTCTTCCAGGTGCTGAGATTATGGGAGTGTGCCACCATATACAACTAATGTTTCTTTATCAGAAAAGTGTTCCTTTATTGGAAAACAATGTAGAAGTGATAGCTGGTTTATCAGTTGAGGGGTCTGATTTGCTCAGGAGAATGGCAGCTATAACCTAGACACTTGCTGAGATAATTTGCAACTTTAACTTGGGAAGTCTCTAACTCTCTATTTTCTTCTAGGTCACCATTACTCCCAGCTCCATGAGGAAGATCTGTACATACTTTCGTAAAAAGTCCCAAGATGACTTCTGTAGTCCTGAACACTCAACTGAATTATAGATTCTAATCTGAAAGTTCACTGAACTTGGGTCTACAAAGATGGGGGTGAAAAGTGACTTTATAATTCTGGTCTTTAAGAAAATGGTCATCTTTTCATTTTGGAAAATTTAGCAGACCTAGTCAGGTCACACTGTCTAGTGTAGACACAGCTTCCTGGGGTGAATGCTGTTTCCATTTCATATGATGGTTTGTCATCTGTAGCCTTTTCTAGCAGTCTGTGGTAATGACATCCAGCTCATGGAGGCAGAAAGCAAGGCACGCACGCCTCTTGTTATTCTGAAACTTCTGTATGGTGGAGTGTGTCCAGGACAGGGCCCGTCTGTGAAGGCAAGTCTGAAGACGTCCTCTAAAGAAGATGACTTAAGCGAGCATGGTCTTATGTGAAATATATCATCTGTTCACTATACTTCTGTGTGTGTATTTTTCAAACTGTAAAATGTGATATTCACATAAGTACTTTCTTATTGTTTCCATGTTAAAATACAGCATCTTGAGCTGAGGTCATGCCTATTTTAAATGCAGTGATTAATGTCAACTAAGGGAGAAAACAACAGAAAGCTGTGGAGGTCCCATGGAGTTTGTTTGTTTGTTTGTTTGTTTGTTTGTTTGTTTTGTTTACTAGATTTCTATCACGAACCAGCATTGCTCTTAGGGTGCGGTAGGGGGCTGTTGAGCACTTTGTTGAAAGAGATGCCTTATAAAGTCAGTAATTATACACTGAAACTAGGGCTTACATTTAGGTGTAGTTCTCAGTTCTCTGGGGTTTGTGACTTCTTCTAATGTCATCAGATTTTCGAGATAAAGTAATTTCTTACTGGTATTTTTATAAAAGATGTTAGCTGTGAACTGAAAATCCAGAACCTGGAAAAACACCGCTTGGTTTATTTGTACAAAAGGCTCTAGCTCTCTAGTATATTGGTAAGCAAAACCCAGCACTTGACCTGAATGGCTAGTGAAGAGGGTGTGTCAGCTGACTCTAAACAGTATGTGAAGTGCTTTAGCCCTTCTCTCCCTTAAATGCTACCTGTTGGTCCTCATGAAATGAGCATCGTTATAGCCTCCTTTGGAGGCTCTCGGAAAGAAACTTTATGATCAGGGTAGGTGCCCCCTTACAGTTAGGAAAGGGTTTTTTCAAATCCCTGAGGGCTGGTTAAACTCTATTTCTATTGTGATTGCCGGGTGGTAGTGTCGCACACCTTTAATCCCAGCACTAGAGGCAGTCAGGTGGATGGATCTCTGAGTTCAAGGGCAACCAGGGCTATTACACAGAAACCCTGTTGGGGGATGGAGAGGACGAAACTTTAATTGCTTTGAGGTCATAAGTTAAGCAGGACTGAATAAGCATTGATTTTTCTCTGATTTTATTCAAGAAAAAAAATAAAGGAAGTCAGATTAGTCAAAAACCATACACATCGCAGCTTTAGCTGAGTGTTGAGGAATCTGCAGTGATGTTTGCTTGGTGAGTCTTAGGCAGTAGGGGGTATTTTTAATGATGCATGCCTGCCAATATTGTTGATATCTCTTGCTTTGAAAGCCAGTGGTGGTAGTCAGTGAAGCACGCGATTCGTGTCCACATCTGGCAGCACTGTGAGGGAAGCTGGGGGAAGTGCTGTCAGAAACTGCGGGCTCTGTCTGCTTGGGAGTCTAGTACCACAGATGAGTATCAAAGGTGCTGTGTAACAAGGCAGGAGTTATCCCTGCCTATTTTAGTATCAGACTTGGAGTCACTAAATAATAAGCCTTTTTATCTTGTCTGATGTTCTTTCCCAAGCTTTTTACACTGACCTAGACGCAATCCACACAAAAAGGAGTAATAATCTGGAGTCCTTTTTGCTTGCTTGTGGAGTAAAATGTGTTTGTTTACAAAGTATAATCTAATTCAAACTGAAAGAGGTTCTAATAAACGGTTTCCTCAGACCTTGGATATTTAGATGACTTCGGTTACTTAGTGTGCTGTTTTGAATTACGAATGGCCCCCATAGTCTGATGTTTGAATGGTTGGTCACCAGGGAGTGGCACTGTTTGAAAGGATTAGGAGGTGTGGCCTTTCTGGAGGAAGTGTGTTACTAGGGGTGGGCTTTGAGGTTTCAAGAGCCTGTGCCAGGCCCAGTCTCCCTCTCCCCTCCTCCATTCCCCCTACCCTGGCCTGTGGATCAGTAGCTCTCTGCTCTCAGCTACTGCTCCAGCTCCATGCTCTTGTGCGCCCTGCCATGATGATAAAGGACCAAGCCTCTGAAACTGTAAACAAGCCCCCAGTTAAATGCTTTCTTTTACAAGAGTTGCCTTGGCCAAAGTGTCTCTTCACAGCAGTAGAACAGTGTCTACAGCACTTGGTAAAGGAGCATGGGTAAAGTAGTTCTTTGTCAAAATAAGTACTTTGATCCCAAACTTTTCCATTTGGATATATTCCAAGCAGTGTGGCTATGTTGATACTAGTTCCTTTGGCTTTTTGTTTTGTTTTTCAAGGCAGGATTTCTCCGTGTAGCCCTGGCTGTCTGGCCTGGATCTCACCCTTTAGACCAGACTGGCCTGGAACTCAGAGCCGCTTGCATCTGCCTCCCAGTTGTGTGGGAGGTGCACACCACCACCTCCCTGTTTCTTTTGGCTATTTCAAGGGTTTTGTGGTGTTTAATAATTAGTCTCTTGAAATGTCTCTTATTGTGGGCTGCACATATTATTGATGACAAACTGTAGCTGCCCTTGTGTTGGAAAAGAGGTCAGCCCACAACCTGTACCCTATCCCTTATCAGAACTGTGCTTAGACTTTTGAATACATTGTGGATAGTAGGCATATTTACTCTGGTGTGTGTGTGTGTGTGTGTCTGTCTGTCTGTCTGTCTTTAATCTTTAATACTCCTCATACGTACGCTCAAAATTGGTCTATGGGGTCAGTGAGATGGCTCACTGAGCCTGATGACCTGAATCCCTATCTGTTAGCATTCAGATAGATCTACCCCTTGGGGACCAGGCCAATAAGCAGACATAAAGTCTCCTTTAAGAGAAAACCCCTCCCCCATCTCTCTTTTTCCCTCTCCCTTCTTTTCTTTCCTCTCTTCCTATGAGGTCTTTCTGCACATCCTCTCTTTTTCTCCTTCTCTCTCTTCTCTCCTCAGCCCCTGCCCACTTTCTTCCTTTCCCTTCCTAATAAATCTTTCCATGTGAGTGCTGCCTGCATGGCGTGCCTTTCCCTGCAGCTCCCACCCGCCATGACCACCTCCCACGGTGTCTGCATGGCATGTCTCTTTCTCACCCACCGTGGGGCCCCTCACCTCCAACCCACCTGGTGAAAAGAGAACCACTTCCCACAAACTGTCCTCCAGCCATCATATGTTCCTTGGTGTGCATATTTCCTACACACACACACACACACACACACACTCATTTTTTTCTTAAGAAAAAAAATAAGCTTATGACCATATTCTTAAAGAGATCACATGTCTGGTCAACGTGTTTGTTGAGAGCCTATCTTAATACACTGATGCTCTTGGGGCTGTTTTTGTGCTTTTCCTGATCCCAAGAGAGTCAGACTTCCTTTCATACTGTTCACAAAGCACAGGCCAAGTAGTCTCACAGAATCAGCCACAACTAGGCAGTGGAAATTACTTCTCACAGCATCGATGGGAAGGGAGTCACTGGTGATGCACTAGGAAGCCAAAGTCGTGGCAGTTCTCAAGGGCTCGGTGCAGGCCCTGCCGATGCTTGTTCAGTCACCTCATGCTGCTCACAGGATTTTTGAGAGGACCTGTGCCACATACTAACCATTAAATCTTGAAATACTAGAAAACTACCTGGCCCTTTAGATATTGGTTAAAAGTTAAAGGCAGGCTGAACACCTTCTGTTGAACTTGGAGTGAACTGAATGCTTTACTAGTGCTGATGCCAAGACTAGGGTAGCCATTCTGTTGTCTAAAATATAGAAGACCCTTTTTTTTAGCCGGGCGGTGGTGGCTCATGCCTTTAGTCCCAGCACTCAGGAGGCAGATCCAGGTAGATCTCTGTGAGTTGGAGGCCAGCCTGGTCTACAGAGCGAGATCCAGGACAGGCACCAAAACTACATGGAGAAACCCTGTCTGGGGGGAAGAGGAGGGGACAAACAAGCAAAAAAACAACAACACAAAAAAAAAAAAAAACTTTTATGTGGAGCAATATTTGAATGCATACTAGTATAGGGGTTACTAAAGAATGCTGGGGGATAGACTCAACTTTTAAAAACTTACCAGGCTGGAACGAGGACTCAGTAGGTTAAATGAATTAGGTGCTTCAAGCATCAGGAGCAGAGTTCAGATCCCTAAAACCCACACAATTGCTGGGTTGTTGGCAAATGCCAGCTGGGTGTGGCAGCCTGCTAGTAATTCAGCTCTAGGAAGGCAGAGATAGGATTCCCAGAGCAACCTGGCTACTTAGACTAGTCTAATGAGAGAGTTCTGGGTTCATTGGAAGAGACCCTGCCTCAAAGAATAAGTTAGATAATGACTGAGGAAGACTCCTGATGTCAGCCTTGTGCTTCTGTACACACATGCATACACACATGAGGAAACGTATACATGTGTGCCCGAGTGTACGTACGGCAAGCATCTACACAACCAAGGGCACTATTAGTAAAGAGGCTTGCTTGATTGCATAGCTCACTGCCTTCTCTGCTAAGCCAAGAAAGCATTTCAAGGATACAGAAATGTTCTATTTATACCCATTTCTCTGATTTCTCTAACTTTTGCTTCCTTGAGGTTGCCATCTATAAAGGTGTGGGTACAAGGCAGAATCAGCTGGGAAGCTTTTCTTGGGCTCAGGCCTTCCACAATCCCGACTAGTACATATCAAAGACATGTGCTCCCATCCACCAGGTGCTTGAGGTCTTGGCTTTGTCCCCCATGTTCACATAAAGATTCCAGAGATGATTTCATATGCTGCCCACAGCCACAGTTGAAAGAGGTTGTAAACTACAGATCTGTATGGGAACAGCTGCAAAGCCACAGGCTGCTCACACAGCTCACTGTCTCTTTCCTGACTTGGCCTTCAGCTCTGTGCCCTATTGCAGATATACCCACTTTTTTGAGCAAGCAGCAGAGTGGCCCTGCAGAGCTGGTTCCCACTAGTGCTGTTGTGAGCTTGGCAATGAGCAGAGTAAAGGAAGGGAAATGCAAAGCGCACCCCTTGCTGTGTGAGCACCTACTTCACTCCACACAGAAAATTGACATGGTACCTGCAAAACAGAATGCTTTGCCCCCACAATGACATCCTTTCCCAGGCTGCTTCTGGTGCCAGTCAATTTATTACCATTGTCACATGGGTGCCAAAATATTATCCATGACAAATGTAACGCCATGGTTCCACCTAGCTTCTGCATATCAAACCCATGCCACCAATGTACACAAGGTGCGGATTTCCAATTTACAGGCACCTACAGAATGTGGCATCCTCTTGTCTTCCAGCAGTCTTGCCGCCTGAACCCCTTCCAGGATTTGTGCCAAAAACATGGATTCAAATTAAAATGTTATGGGCCGAGTTTTTTCCCCTCCTGTCAACAGTGTTGCTTGCTTTTATAGCCTAAAGGTAATTCTACAGAGCAGCCTTTCCTCGAGCAGCGCATGCCAGGTAATGCTTGTTGATGAAATAGACTCCCAAGCCTTGTCGTTGACTTGGAGTTAGCAAATGTTCTGTGTCACTGATGGTCATTCAGCACCATGCTTAATTTTACTTCTCCCCACCTCCTCCAAGATGCAGCAACACAAATTTCCAGGGATTATTTGAAGTTCTCATTCTCCCTTGTTCTCTGTATTGCTTGGGATTGAAGGATTCAGGGCCTTGCACATGCCACTGAGCTACACCTCCAGCACTTCCAAGAATTACTGGAGAGCAGCATAATAGGATTTATAATAGCTTACCAGCAGTTGGGGTACTGAAAACCCCTGCGGGCCTTGGTGTACCTGTTATGTGTCCAGTGGGAACAGTGCTTCCCAGAAAGCCTTGGCTTCACAGACTCCATCCCTACTCCCTGAGGCAGCGGGAGCCCAGCTGCAGGCTCTGCTTCCCTCCTTCACCCGCTCTTCCCTTTCCTGCACCAAAATGGGACCAGCAGCCAATTTAGGAATGACACTCATGTATGACTGCAATTTTGTTGCCCTGTTGTCTTTGGCTAAAAGGCTAGGCGCTTGCCAGATGATGGCGGCACAACTTTAATCCCAGCACTGAGAGGCAGAGGCAGGCGGGATCTCTGTGAGTTCTAGGCCAGCCTAGTCTACAAAGTGAGTTCCAGGACAGCTAGGGCTACACAGAGAAACCCTATCTTGGGGGGGGGGGAACCAAGGTGGGGGAGCTGGAGAGATGGTTCAGTGGTTAGGAGCACTGGCTACTCTTCCAAAGGACTTGGGTTCAATTCCCAGCACCCACAAGGCAGTTCACAACTCTTAACTCCTGTTCCTGGGGATCTGACACATCACAGAAACATACATGCAGGCAGGACTCCAATACACATAAAAAATATTTCAAACAAACAAAAAAGCTGGGAGCTGGGCTGGAGAGATGGCTCAGTGGTTAAGAGCACTGGCTGCTCTTCCAGAGGACCTGGGTTCAGTTCCCAGTATCCACATGGTAGCGCACACCTGTCTGTAATTCCAGTTCCAGGGGATCCGATACCCTCACAGACAGACATGCTACAATGAATATAAAATACAAATAAAAAAGTTATATTAAAAAAAAAAAAAGCTGGGAGCTGAGGGAAATGGATGTCTATTATCATTCTCAAGTTTCACAGAAGCCAAGGGCCAAAACCAAGAACAACTTGCTTCAGGACAGTGTTGGCCCTGGAGTATCGAATGAGATGAAGTCATCCAAGGAGGCTTTGTCCTCTCTTGACCTTGACAATGACCTTGCTCCTGGTTAAATGTTCAGTCCCTGTCCCTCCTAGATACTCCTAAGCA